TCTCTTGACATTGTATGGATATCGTTAGGAGAAAATTGACGTTAGACACTATTGGGACTTAAAGGGTTAATGCTCCCTCCCTTCCGCTGGGACTTTTTGCGAACGGCGGGGAGCTATGAGAGACGGCTTTATTGACAGGTTAGCTCGTGTGGAACCCAGACTGAGCGAATAAACGCAAAAACGCAAGTACTACTGCACACCCGCGCTTCCTGTAACATAATTCAATATTTACTGAATTTTGGCGAGACCATCTACTCTCACTAAAAAATGCCGAACTGAAGGAACTCGTGGAAGCAATGTTTACATAAAAAACTGGTATGTAACAGTTTACTAAAGCGCTTTTTATTTGCAAGTTTTGATTTCCGCAACAGCTATTTTATTTGACTTCGCTAAATTTGATACAAATTTCCTCACATCAAAATTCCAAATAAAGCCAACCTCACTGAAGATAACCAGAAACGAGGAAGCTGAAATGAGGGCATGGCCTAAAATGCATAGTAAATTCGTCAGACAACGGAATGTAAGACAAGATAACACAATGGACAGGGCGGGCACTTTGCCTCTGAACTTATATGAAACTGAAACGGTCTTAAAACCAGTCAATTTAAATTCACTGATAGGCGTAGATAGAGTTCCAAGCGAAAGTGATGAGCCACCTAATTCAAATGAGGATGCCAGTGTACCACCAGAGTCTGCCAACAACGAACGGGTAGACAGCTTTAGTGCGAATGACAGTGATAGTGACTCTGAAGAAGAGGTAGACAGTGCTCTTGAAACAATGAACATGATCCGTCCGACCAGACTGGGAAGAGTAAGAACACTTACAAGTCGGATGGCAGATTTCCTGCAGGCAGGAATGGCAGGAATGTGAAGTGGCAGAGACTAATCGCTATAAACTCGCTGCTTAAAAGTTTTATTACTGTCTGAAATGATCCTGTTATCTTCAGAACATCTTTGTATTTCCTTGTGAATTTTTGGGTCGAAAATTTTAGAAAAGGCAGGAAGCATAGAAATTGGTCGGTAGTTTTGTACAAAGCTAGCGTTATCAGATTTAAAGATAGGAATAATTTTAGATATTTTCAGTCTATCTGGAAAAACTCCTGAAATGAGGTCGAGTGTTTTTTGATAATACAAATTGGAATGTTGTCAGCTCCGGGAGCCTTACCGTCCTTAAAACCTTTTGTTATTGTTTTGAGTTCCTCAGCGGTTACATGAGTGAAGCTTGACAGCGAGTCTGAGGGCACACTGTTTATAAAATCCTGGAACGACTTGGAGGCAGGGGCTATTTTATCAGCCAAACTTGGACCGATGTTTGTATAATATTTACAAAATTTGGCGACTTTTTCTGTCATGCTTTCACCATTTTCATCTACTAGCGGGTATGTCAATTATTTCTTCTTTTTGTTTTGGCCTATTGCATTATTCAAAATCCTCCACGTCTGCTTGATGTTAGTCTTATTTATTTCAATTTGGTTTTCAAAATAGAGCCTCTTGGCAACTTTAAGAAGATTAGTTAGTTTGTTTTTATACGTTTTGTATTTGAGACGTTTTTCATTCGATCGATGACGAAACATTCATGGTTTACTACTGTAAAAAGCACCTATTTCTTATGTAAGGGGTATTTTTTGGAGAGCCTATACTCGATAAATAGTAATTTTACCAATATGTCTTGCAAGGCACTACTTTTATATATCAAGTCTCTGTGCGATGAAAACATCATAAATCTAAGTGCCTTTTATATTGAGAATATTCTAACTTGTTATAAATCGGAACTCTAATTTAGCCTTCTTAAAATACGAGTAGCGTAGAAGCCATACATACCCAGGTAATTTTCTATCTTAATGTTCAATATATTGTTGTTGTTCCTTTCTCATGCTTAACTTTTATTTTACTTTATTTCATTTGTTGTTATATTGATTGTTTTGGTACTGAAATCTTCATGTCGAAGATAAAGTAAAAAAATTTGTTGCTGTAGTTGTTGTTTACAATGATTCGAACAAATTCTGTCGCGAGATTTTAAGAGCCCAGCATTTTGAATTCCCAGCTTCAATTCCTCTTCGTGCTCTATGGAAAAATAAAACTTTATCCCAAAATACTCACGGGGGTCCTGTTATATATTTGTAGGGGTTCATAACCAACTACCGTCATTTTTGTGGAGTCTCTTAACCAACTACATTGACCCTCCCCTCCCTCCGCATCCACTTGTCGTTCACTGAGAGTGTTTTACTGTTTCAATGTACATCTGCTCGTTGCTGTAATATATTATTCAGCAAATATATTTAAGCAATTCACTAAAGTATAATCCATGTTTTATTGAAGCGCTTCTTTTACAGTGTGGTTAATTACAAACTACAGTTACTAGGAATGCATGAAACTAGTGTTTTTCCTTTGCATTTTTCTAACAGTAAGGTTACTTGATTTTAACTGTATTTAATGCTAAATGTCTATTGTTGGAGACAAAGACTTCACTTGACACAAGTACAAAGTACCAGAAATATCTCAAAAATCTTTTGGACGTATCTTCATCTCGGACTTCTTGACCGAGTAGTGAGCTTTTTTCCAATGTTGCCAGTCCATTCCTTTAGGGTCGTTCTTACCATTGAGGTACAGACCATTCAGATTGGAGTGGTGGCAATTGTTGCACCACCAGGCGCCTTTATAACTCAAGGCACAGTTGCCGCTGCTCTAGTCATTATCACGATCCTTGGTGGAAAATGACATACCACGATGATAACCAAGGGAATCACCAGCGGTACTTATAAAAAGAAAAAAAATGCGAAATATAGGTGTTCGGTTATTTTTTCGTAGAGTTTTTGCATCCTGTAAATTTCACTTTCTGCAACAATACTGAATTTCCACGCTAATTTACCGAGATCGGACGAAACACTTCTGAACAATTAGAAATTAAAACTGACTAATAAGGAAAATTACACTGAGTCATGTCGTCTAAATCACAAAACTGGTGTCCCCTAATTGGTAAAGATTGCGTTGCGGCTGAAAATCCAGTAAAATGCTGCACCGCTTTCCTTGTCTGCATGATACATATGTATCATTGGAGAGCTTAATTTAGATATCACGAATTCAAAATACTAAAATTTCTGAACTCTATGTGAGCCGACTTTTGATGGGAGTCCATCTCAAGGGTATTGTTCCCTTAATTTGTACTGTAAGGAAAAGGATTGTTGTTTCGTCTTTGAGGCTTTCGAGATATCAGTTTTTCCTGTCAACAGAGCTTCAGCAACGAAGTCTACAGAAACTACCGAGCTCCTATGATGGACTCTCTCTCAACAGAGTTAATAGCTCAGTTATACCTCAATCCAAGTGAAATCAATCGGTGGCAGACGGTTGTAATGAACGCCATTTTATTTTGGTATTGGATCAGTGAAATAGCAAAAAAAAAAGATAAAGAAAGAAAAGAAAGAAACAAAAAATTAATATTCTAAAGACGTTTTTGATATGATCTCCATATTATGACATCGAAAAAAGGTTAAATGCTGTTGTATATAAAAATAACTTTCCAGTTGCAATCAATTGCCATTACGTATCTACAATACCTTATAATTTTTTTTCTCTCTAATTTTGTTTTTCGTGTTTTGCAGCATTTTTTTTTCGCCGACTGATTCTTGTTTTAGTCGATGGAAGTTAACTAACCTGAATAACTTCCCAAACTCAGTTGATATTTCGCTCTCTCGCTTGTGACAGAAAAGGAGCTGCACTCGGCAAATGCAGTTTTCCATGAATATCTTCCAAGTCGATACGAAGTTTATAACCACCGCTTACAGTCAGCCGATGAATCCTGTCCAAACCGAACCAGAACTCACCGTTCAGGTTGCCAAAACCGCGTTTGTAATGATCCCAAGCGCAAAAGAAATCAACAGAGCCATCTCGCCTCTTCTTCTTCCGGCTGTTTTCTGGTCACAGAACACAGTTTAGTTTTAATCTTCGTGTGGAAGTGGAAAATAGTGATAATGACATATTTTTGTTAGTTTATGGAAGAGTTGTAATAACAATTTCAGCAATTGCTACAGTCCAGTATTGTTAAACCACTGTCAGTATAGGTGGATAAAGATGAATCTCTTCTGTGTTTTCACTGTCAGAATCCCCAATGGAAAGGAGTGGGTGGATAAGGAAAGAGAGCACGCTTTAAGTTAACTTATTAAATGCCTTAAGCATTCGTGTGTAGCCTGCAAATACAACCGCCTCTTAGTGCTCGCTCCCTTCCGCTGGGACTTTTTGCGAATGGCGGGGAGCTATGAGAGACGGCTTTATTGACAGATTAGCTCGTGTAGAACCCAGAATGAGCGGATAAACACAAAAACGCAAGTACTGCTGCACACCTGCGCTTCCTATAACATAATTCAATATTTACTGAATTTTGGCGAGACCAGCTACTCTCACAAAAAACATGCCGAAAGGCAACTCGTGGAAGCAATGTTTACGTAAAAACTGGTGTGTAAAAGTTTACTAAAGCGCTTTTTCTTTGTAAGTTTTGATTTCCGCAACAGCCATTTTATTTGACTTCGCAAAATTTGATAGAGATTTCCGTGGGCCAAACTGAACGATTTTGAAGACTATGCTTGATAAGCAAACTTCTAAGCAAAACAAATGACTTTTTTCTCCTCTGGTTCGCGATAACTGGCAACTAACACAATCTACCACAAATGACCGAGTATTGAATTATGAATTCAATTTCTGCCTCCTTTTCCGACGGAAAAGCACTCCCATGTCGTCAATTGAGGGAAAAGCGGATGGGTAATGGAAGATAGGCTCCTGGGTCCATAGAAAACAGTTTTCGGAGAAAAGGTTCCACACCTTGGGATTTCAGCCACAGACTCAAAATTTAGAAACATCAGTTGTACACAGCTCATAAAAAAAACAGCGCTACAGCAAAGTCCTGCAAAGAAGCATTCATTGGCTGGGTTAAAATGCAATCCGGCTTTTCATTTCAAACAGTTTAGATAAATACAACTTTTCAAGTGATTAATGTTTTTATTGAAGCACCTCTATCACAGTGTACTGGTTAATTAAAAACGAACGTAACTCAGAATCATTAAACTGCATGGCGTTTTTCAATACATTTGTCTGGCAGAAGATTACTTGATTTTAACTTCATTGAAAATAGTTATTGTTAGAATATCAAGACCTCAAGAGACATACGCTTTACTTAGCACAAAGTGCCAGAAATATCTCAAAAATCTTTTGGACGTATCTTCATCTCAGTTTTCTTGACAGAGTAGCAGCTACCCTTCGGCCAATTGAGCCAGCGCATTCCTTTACAGTCGTCCTTGCCGTTGAGGTACAGTCCATTCAGGTTGGAATGGTGACAACTGTTGTACCACCAGGCGCCTTTATAAAGCAAGGCACAGCTTGCTTTGTATTTATCGTTATCACGATCCTTGGTGGAAAATGACATACCGCGATGACGTGGACCAAGTGCATCACCAGCAGTTCCTACAAAAAGGGGGGAAAGCGACTTACAGGTCTTATATTTCTCGGTTTTCTTTCGCAGAGTTTTTCAACCGGTCAATTTCACTTGTGCATAAACAATCCTAGTCCACTTAAATTAATCCAAACTGGAAGAAGCACTTCTAGGGTTTTTAAACAAAATTAAATTAAAATGTCCTCCGAAAGGTCTTAAAAGACCTCCTTAAAAGGAACATGAAGGATCACATTTGGTGAATTACGAAACCGGTTGAGATCTTGTACTTGCTGACAATTCAGTGAAATACCCTAATTTCTGAACTCTCAAGACGTGAGCCAATCCTTTTTGAACTATTTGATATGATCTAATATGACATTACAAATACAGGTCAACTGCTGTTGTAAAACTCAACTAACAACTTTCACAATTCCAATCCCGATCAACTAGGCCAGAAAAAAAATCTTATTTTCTGTCTACTTTCTTTTTTTCTTCTGTTATTGTATTGTCCAATTTGCAACATTTTTCGCCGACTGATTCTTTTTCAGTCTAGTGTATAAGCTTACCTGAATAACTTCCCAAATTCAGTTGGTATTTCGCTCTCTCGCTTGTCAAAGAAAAGGAGCTGTACTCAGCAAATGCAGTTTTTCCATGAATGTCTCCCAAGTCGATACGGAGTTTATAACCACCGCTTACAGTCAGCCGATGTATCTTATCCAAACCGAGCCAGAACTCACCGTTCAGATTGCCAAAACCGCGTTTGTAATCATCCCAAGTGCGGAAAAAATCAACAGAGCCATCTCGCCTCTTCTGAAACACCGTCCAACCTCCACCGGCTGTTTTCTGATCACAGAACACTTCAAATTCGCCCAAACCATCAGGATTAATTTTATACACTCCACTGATCTTGTCACCTGACTTGTAGACTTCAGCGCAGTTCTTGTAAACTGAAAATAAAATGATCATTCGATGCTGTAATTAGTCAGTTTGGCTGTATTTTCTAGCCATATATTCTTCGAGGTGAAAGGTTAATCCAAAATAAGAGTTGGCAAATTCAAGAATAAAATGTGACACATAGCAGTAAATGCATTATTTAGACTCAGTATTAAACATTTGAACTATATGTTCGCCTTTGCCATCCCTCTGTTTTGCATTGTGCTTGGACGTAATATAATAAAGGGGGATCTAAATCAGGACCCATAGAATGTGTTTTAAGAACACGTTACTGAAATATGAATAGTATTTTCGTCACATCTTGGAGAGGTTTTGACGGTATTTTAGTGAGGTATTGATGACCACGAGGATCCACTTAGTTTGCTCATCTGCAGTAAAAATTCGATGAAATTAAATCAGATTTAGTTGCTGTTACAAACCTTTTCCGTTGCCAGACCCAGTAGTTTTATTTTCTTTCAATGCCCTGATTTCTTGTCGTATTTCCTCTAGTTGTTGCTCGATTTTCTTACAGTTTGGTCCGGCGTAGAAGCTGTTGTAGTTATTATTCACATTACAACGAGCTTCCTTCGTCGGTTTAACAGTAGAGTTGGCAAGTGCCGAGATGAGACAAGTGAGCAGTGAAGTTCCAAAGAAATATTTCATCTTAACTCCTTAGTATGAGCTGTTTTGGGATTTGAAAGAACTGTCCCACATGCACAATGGACAAAGTCAGTGTTAGAGAAGAAACGATACTAAAACTTCCGCAGATGCTTCTTATTGCTTCTAATTTTTCAAGACAAGATTTTTCTCGTCTGTGTATATCTTTAGTGAGGGTTTCGTCATCTATTATTATCACCAATAAAGCATAAATTATTTAACATTTGCATACAGCATCGTGTGGCGGAAAAATAAATGATCTTGTCTATATCGCTTTGTTGTGTTTTTATTGTAGAGGAATTAATGGCGTACTACCTTAAAATTTTAGTTTTAAGCTTCGTGTGGAAGTGGAAAATAGTGATAACATATTTTTGTCAGTTTATGGAGGAGCTGTAATAGCAATTTCAGCAATTGCTATACAGTCCATTATTGTTAAACCACAGTCAGTATAGGTGGATAAAGATGAAGCTCTCTATATTTTTAAATCGTCGCAGTCACTGACTAACCCTATTACTGGGAAGAAGTATGCATAGGGAAAGAGAGCACTCTTTGAATTAACTCGTTATTAAATGCCTCAACCATTCGCGTGTATCCTGCGAATACAACCGCCTCTTAATGCTCCCTCCCTTCCGCTGGGACTTTTGCGAATGGTGGGGAGCTATGAGAGAATGCTTTATTGACAGGTTAACTCGTGTAGAACCCAGAATGAGCGGATAAACGCAAAAACTCAAGTACTACCGCACACCTTTGCATTCCTATAACATAATTCAATATTTATTGAATTTTGGCGAGACCAGCTACTCTCACAAACAAATGCGGAAGCAATGTTTAGATAGAAACTGGTATGTAAATGTTTACTAAAGGGCTTTTTATTTGTAAGTTTTGATTTAAGCAACAGCCATTTATTTAACTTAGCTAAATTTGATACAATTTTTCCGTGGGCCAAATTGAACCATTTCGAAGACTATGCTTTATAAGCAAACTTCTAAGCAAAACAAATGACTTTTTTCTCCTCTGGTTCGTGATAACTGGCAACTGACACAATCTATCACAAGACAAGGGAGTATTAAATCTTGAATTTAATTACAAGCTCCTTTTCCGACAACCTCGTTCCCAGGGTTCTCTCCTACCGGGGAACGAGGTTGCCTTTCCGACAGAAAAGCACTCCCCTTTCGTCAATTCAGGGAGAAGTGGATGGGTAATCAAAGACAGGCTCCTGGGTCCATAGAAGACAAAAGGAGAATTCTAAGGACAAACGAGGAAGTTACTATTTTTTACAAGTGATTAAAAATATTAAACTGAGGAAAAGTGCGCAAGGTATTTTTTATTTCTATTCCGGTCAGTAAATAATTCTACCGTTACGTTGTACGTTTTTTTCCAGTTCATAAACTACAAGCACAAGACAAGCACAAGTATTCAGAGTTTGCTTTCAAAATAAATTTGACAAGGAATTGACGAATTCTATAACGAAAGTTAAAAACACAGCATTCAATGTCGAAGTATTTCAGTTTAAATTCCCATCGCGGTCTATAATTAAGCAAAATGTGTCCAAAAAGGTCCCACAGGGGTCCTGTTATATTTTTGTGGGGTCCCTTTAGGTGTACAAGTACATTTACCCTCCCCACCCACTTGACGTTCACCAGGAACATCTTATTATTCTCTGTTTTTTAAATGCATCTGTTCCAGACCCCCATAGGCTGGAGCACCAATTAAGATTGACACTCCTAACTGTAATAATTGAAAATTGTTCCATTTCACTAAAATTAACATTTGTTTTCAGCAAAAATGTCACGACGATTTTCGCTGTCCTTAAGAAAAAGAAAACATCCTCATTTAATGATACACATAATTCAACTCCTGTAGGAACATTGACACTAAATCCTTGGGATTAACTATATTATTGCCCACTAACGTAATCGGTTTGAAACAAACTGCTCCCTAAGTGTCACTCCATAGAAGAAAAATCAAATCAGACAGGACATGTCACGCAGTCTTAACATCTCCTACTTGTCACGAACGTCTTGATTTTGGGGACAAAGCAGAGCATTCTTGGTTGGACATTTCCGTATGTCTTGTCGTTGGCTCATTCCCTGGGGGCATTCTAGTGGGTATTGGAGGAGGGGATCGTCGGGTCCCCTTACTTGGCTCCCTTGGGAGGATTGGGAGTGGAGCCTTGTTGTCATCCGCAAGGCGAGGAAATCTTTCTAATGTCGTTGCCCTTGGCGGTATTCGGTGAACACTTGTCCTGTAGGATTGGCCTTTTAAAATAGATTCGTTCCAGACCCCAAAAGGCAGGAGCTTCAATCACTAATGTACATTACTGCAATATTTAAAAATCTTTTCACTTTATCCTACATTAAACGTGTTGAATTCAGAAGAAAGATCAGGTAAATATATTCATTCCTTTGACGTTATTTTTTTGTCAGATCAAGAAATTCAAGTACATGACAAGCACAAGTATTAAGGAGGGGGGCGTTAGAATTTTCGGTTTTACGGTTTTGGCCATTTTGTAGGTCGGTTTTTCGTTTTTTGAACTAAAAAAAACTTCGGTTTTTTGGTTTTGTTTTCAGGTGCGGTTTCCAGAATTTCCGTTTTTCAGCATCTGGTTTTTCGGTTTTCTGGCAAAAATGGAGAGGTTGATTCCTCTGTGGGTCTCTGTGCAGTGACATGTTACGCTATTTTGTATGTTTCTATTTTACAGTCAATCCAGGTCAAATTGCAATGTGGGATTCTGGATTTTTGATGGAGGTTTACAGCAGCTATAGGAGAGCTTTTTGCCAACGCAAAATTTTCCCCAATGTCCTCAGTATTGCTATTCAATCGAGAATCCTTGTGAATTCCTGTCCTAGGCCAGATATACTGGTTTTACGACCATTAGCATCCATAGATAGTGCTGATACTGTGAGGAGATTAATATCTAGAATGATAGTAGGACCATTTATACGAGGAAAAATAAGACGCGTCTTGAATTAGACGCGAACTGTACCATTTATACGAGCATGTCTTATCTAATAAGACGCGTCTTAGCTAAAAAAAACCGCGTCTTATTTTAGAAGAAATGTGCCGTTTATACAGAAAGTTCGCGTCTTATTTAAGAGGCGTCTTATTTTTCCTCGTATAAATGGCCCTAATGTCACCCTGTTTAATCGGGAAAATTTGAAGAATAGCTCCTCAAAAATCTGTCGGCGGCCGACAAACGGCCGACTCCATTGTCGTTTAAACTGTAGGAGAGCTGTTGGTTGATGATAAATTTGCATCTTGAGAATTCATATTCATTGATCAAGGTAAAAAAGGCCCTAGTTTGAGTATCAGTTTTCTTTAACAAACCGGAGTTAGTTCCGACTGTTGGTCGTCTGTTGGTGAACTGTCGGTAGACAGTCTACCAACAGACCGCCGACAGATTTTTTAGGAAGCTGTTCTAAAATTTTACCATTAAGTCCGTATGTTCCACACATCTGAGATCTAGACTAGCGTTTTGAGGGGGGTCTTTTGAAAAAAGAGCTGTATAGATCTTCGGTTTTGATGGTTTTCTACTAGGTTTTCGGTTTTGATCGAAATCTATCGCGGTTTTTCGGTTTCGGGTAATTTTCAGTGCGGTGTTTCTGTTTTTTATAGACCCCAATGCCCCCATCATTAAGAGTTTGCTTTCAAAATTGATTTTACTATGAATTGAACAAACTCTGTCGTGAGATTTAAGAACACAGAATTTTCAATTCCCGGTTACAATTCCCATGGTGCTCTGTGGCAAAAATATAGTTTATCCGAAATGCTCACAGGGATTTTGTTATAGTTTTGTGGGGTATCTTAACCAACTACATTGCCCTTCCCCGCCCGCCGCGTCCACTTGTCGTTCACCGAGAGATCGAGTTTGACTGCTTCCCGTTTTTAATAGATTTGTTCCAGACCCCTTGAGGAAGGAGCTTCATGCAATGTACATGTGCTCGTTGGTATAACACAGTATTCAGCAAAAAGGTCATAAAAACAGACCATAAGCTATTCCTGAGTCAAAAAAATAGATTCAGTCAAGTAATCTATGTTTTATTGAGGCGCTTCTTTTACAGTGTAGTTAATTAAAAACTACAGTCACTCAGAATGCATGAAAGTAGTGCTTTTCCGTTGCATTTTTCTAACAGTAAGGTTACTTGATTTTAACTGTTTTTAATGTCAAATTTCTATCGTTAAAATGTTAAGACCTCCAGAGACGTAAGCTTCACTTGACACAAAGGGCCAGAGATGTCTCAAAAATCTTTTGGACGTATCTTCATCTCAGACCTCTTGACTGAATAGTGAGTGTTTTTCCAAAGGCGCCAGCAGTCCATTCTGCCTTTGGGGTCATTTTTACCATTGAGGTACAGACAAGAGAGGATAAAGGGGACAGAGAAGGCATCCCCCATACACACCCTATTCCACAGGTAATTCGTCTCGAGTTATTTTTAAGACCACAGATCCCAAGGGGGATTAGACAACAACCAATCACATAGCGCGAATGTGTTCCACGTGGATGACCCACGCTCAGAGCCACGCGTCCTTCACGAATTGACGCAGAACAAAATGGCTGTCCCCTTTATCCTCTCTTGGGTACAGACCATTCAGATTGGAGAAGTGACAACTATTGTACCGCCACTCGCCTTTATAATCCAGATCACAGTTGCCGCTGCTCTTGTCATTATCAAAATCCTTGGTGGTAAATGACATGCCACGATGATAGGCAAGCGAGTCACCGGCGGTTCCTGCAAAAAGAAAAAACGGGGAAATATAGGTGCTATATTTTGGGAGTATTTTGGGTATTCTCCGTAAAGTTTTTGCATCCTGTAAATTTGCCTTTCTGCAACAATAATTTCAACGTACGTTAATTTGCCTAGATCGGACGAAACACTTCTGAACATGTACAATATTAGGTTAAAACGTTTTAAAATCTTGCTTCGTCCGGTCTCGCTTAACTACTGATAAGGAAGACAAAGCTGATTCTTTCCTTTTAAACTAAGGTTTGCAGTCACTGCTGGCCGGAATACCCCAATAGCTGGGAAGGGTGAAGTGGATACTTCTAGGGAAAGAATACACTCTTTACCTCAACGAGTCGTCTGTAGCCTGGGAATAGAGCTGTTTCACAACGCTCCCTTCTTCAGGAACTTGAAGATGCTAATTATGAGTCAAGAAGAGAGTCACCTTAGAAGGTTGTTGGCCACTGCCTGCCGTCAATATAATATATTAATTATATAGGGAGAGAAGTCGATGCGTATGGAGACGGGCGGCTGGAAACGTAACAGACCAAATAGGAGAATTCTAAGGACAAAGGAAGTTAGTACTAATGATTATGTAGAGGTCAAGTGTGACCAGTTATCCTCTATTTCCTATTATATTCAGTAAATAACTTAATTCGTCAGTTTGGCTTTTTTTTTCAAGTTCAAGGAATGCAAGTACGTGACAAGTATCAAGAATTTGCTTTCAAAATTAATTTAACTACTGTATTAATTTAACTCTCTCTCTCTCTCTCTCTCTCTCTCTCTCTCTCTAGAAGAAAAGTAGGGCACTTTTGTAACACTTTTCACTAATAAAGATAGCTTCAACAATTCTGTTTGCTGCAAATTCTTTCAAGGTCAGAAACGTACTTTAACACGTGTTCCCAATGAATGTTAGTGGTCACCAAATTCTAATTTAATATTTATGAGCTACGCGCCCATATATACCCAGGAGGTTACAAATGCGCCCTATGTTGTGGTAACAGCCAATTTAAAGAATAAAACCCCCATTTCTTGGTCAAAATGGAGCTATTACTTTACCATTTATACGTCACATGATTCTCTTGATTACCACATTACTTGAAATTTGAGTTATAAAAGCTAGAAAAAATCTGCCGTGTAAGTATATGACTCTTCATGCCGATGACAAGAATCAAAGATCGGAAAAAGGCCATTTTTTGTTTTGCAAGTTTGAAGAATCAATTTCATCAGTTATACTTGACCAAACTAGCTCAAACTGAAGTATGAGGAAGAACAATCATTAGGCAATATACCAAGGCAGAAAGTAAGGAGAAAATACGCTCTTTCATTTTTTAATAAATTTTTAAAGTTATCAATGTGCGAAAAACGGCAACGTTACAAAAGTTCCCTATTTGCTAGATGTTCCGACGCCGTTAATGGGATATTTTTTTTGACAGATAATAAACAATATTGTTGTCAAATTAAAGGCTATTAAGACAGCAACAAGTGACGTAAAACACTCGTCCATTCCTTTTAAGGGAAGGGAGTTACAGCTACGGAAAATGTTTGAAACACAAACGCAAGATAACCTTATGAACTGATGAACTAGTTTGTCTTACTACGGGGGTATTTAACAGATATAAATTCATCAGTTGTATCCTTAACAACATGAAGAAATTCGCTCTTACCTTATGGATCACAACACAGCTTTTTTTTCGGAGATTGTGCTTAACAATCACTCACAGCAATTAATCGCTGGATAACACATTGAAGCACAATGTTAGTGCGGAACAACTAAACATTCCTTTCTCTGAAACAGTGCTTTGAGTTGTCTTTATAGACCATTGATCAACAAAAAGACGTTCACGCCGATTTCCTCTTCTAGCTACAACCGAAAAACATGCCACATTTAATAACCGAATCAACGACGCTTTTTAACGGATTTGAATAAAATAACACTTTTTTGAAAACTGCCTTGAGTGTTGTCTAAAATGTTTGTCGCGCGGTAGCGTAAAGCAGTCTAGAGCTGGATAACTCAGTCATTTTCCCCCAGAAGCTCCCTGAAACGTAAAAGAGACAGGTATGTTTGTTGAGTATTCTAAGGTTCAAGATAGTGTATTTGGCAAGTTGTGAAAGGATCCGGCGATCATTGAGCTGCGAAGGGACCTCCCGACGACATCCACTTTTTTCGTTGGTAATGCTTTCCCTTCTACATATTTCTATACTCTCTGACATCGCGCGCCCAAAATAGTCATAACAAGACTGTCCTAGCTTTGGACGTTACAGCGGAATACCCTGCCACTTCAACAATACTCTCCCCAGCCGGCTAGGTGATACGCAGAAACTAATTTAATGAAGAACAAATCCAAAATGGCATCCTGTATTATTACTGGCTAAGAGTAATATTCCTCGTTCTTTAAGCCCTGGAGGGAAACAAGAGCGCCACGTGTGTAGTACTCCTCGTTCTTTCAGCTCAAAAGCGAAACAAGCGTTCTGTTTGACTTGATGTCTTTTAGAGCATGGATCGGGGGTTAACTAAGATCCTAATCGAAAGGAGCTCCCGATCACATCCACCTTTACTCGCTCTATAGTCGACTGATGTGTTAATAAAGTCGAGTATTCATAGGTGATTTAAAGTTCACGGCACCACCTAATGACCTACTTCACAACTATGTGGTTTTCAATGTGTATAGTTATCTTTGACAACAATTTTTATTAGTAGCTAGGCTTAAAACAATAGATCGCTGGCACTAAACTTTCCCGATCACTTGTCGAAGTTTTGGACCCGCCCAAAAACGCGTGCATTAATGCTTGATTGAACGCTCGCAATTTGTATATTGCGTTATGTAATATGCACTAAATATTAATCACTTCTGTATTTTTTTAGTTATGTATTTTTAGCAAGGGAACAGAAACACTATTATTTGCTCTGAATGGGATATGAGGCTGGGCATCTCATATCCACTTCTACTGAGAGAGGCTCCGCAGCGGCGGGCCTATGGGTAGGGTGTGGATCAGAAGTCCAAATACTGTTTAACAGACTAATTTTCGTGCAATTAAGTTGACTGACTGAATTCAAGCTATCAAAGAATACTGGCGCATTCCAGGGAAATGCAAAGTCATTTTCAAACCTGCCACCAACTGAAGACCTTTACCACGCCCTACTTGATTCGGACGTTGACGATATTACACTTCGGGCTCTCATACACAAGCTACCTTTCAGACTACGTGCGTCGCTTTAAAATTATGAAAGGGGTGATATTCCCACGAACAATCACATAACTTGCATTGCTAAAAAACGATCGAGTTCAAAATTCTTGGTTATCTGCAAGTCTGGGTAGATTGTGCTATTAAATAGCAACAAACTAGCTACAAAATATATGCCTACAAAAAACGGTGATTGGAACAAAAGAAATATGTTTCTGCCGAGTCTGAAACATTTCTTATAAAATTAAGTGTTTTTAGAGGAAAACCACAAAGTTGCGTCTTTTTTAAGCAACAAAAAACTGCCAAGCGCAATCTGAATAGGACTGGTTAGTGAGCCATTCAGGATCTGCGGCGGATAACATCTTTCAAAGGCTTCTGCACCCGTTAGTGTTGTAAAATTATTTTCTGCCAATAATTTGCTGTTTTATCCTGTTAAGCCGTAAAGTTAATGTTAATCATGTCTAAATCAGTGATGACAGAGTCCTTTTCAAAACTGTTACTAATTAAAACAACCTATAGTAGTATTGTACTGTACCTATGAACAGCGCCATGAACCACCGTCAACAATTAAATTAGCCTGTGTACATCCGCCCCCTCCCCTGCAATTTTTTCTGAGGGGTGGGGGCGGCTGTACTCAGGCTGAACAATTATTTGCTGAGGTTTTTGTGATATGCAGAATAATAATGGCCGAGGTAAGTGTTATAGGCCAAGCCGAAGGTCGAGGCTATAACACTTACCTTGTTCGTCGTTGTTGTTGCAGCCAACCCCGTTAACACGGACACTGAAGGGACCACAGAAAGTGTCCCTATAAACGAGGAGTCCTTATTAAGCGGCTCATGTTATTAAAGTCAAAAAACCTCTTTTTACTAGAAAAAAGATACCAAAGAAATATAAGAGGACATAAGCTTCGTCAAATTAAACTTCTCTTACCTTCAAAGCCTTCAAAGCCGTCATAACGCGGCTCAAGTCCACAGAAACACTTAAAAATCGCTCGTTTATATATTACTCTATCAAAACCCTTCTCTGCATAATTCGTTTGATGCCTAAAATCGGTGACGTCTAAAACCTCCCTATCTGGTGTATTGTAGCGCTGGGAACATCGACATGCTGTCATGATCAACTGAAGAACTTTTTACCTTCAAAAAGGAGAGGTCTATTACTGCACACAGTTGATATTGAAGTATTCACATTAGCGAGTTTGGCTCTCTATGAAAATTCGTTGATTAGGCAGGAAATAAGTGTCTGTTGTCCGCATTAACGGGTGTCGGTATAAAAAAGGATTGAATTTAGAGAAAATGTAACGGCTTTCTTTCCCTGGGACAAAGAAAACTGTACTCCGTAATATCAAGGTGTCCGTATCAAGTGGGTGTCCGTAAAGCGGGTTTCGGACCGTATTTGCTGGGAGCAAAAATAGTATTCGGTGACGTCCCATTAAGGTGTTTTGTATACAGAGATTGTTGGCTGTTTTTAAGCTCTTTCTTCACTTTCGTTAAAGTGGCCGCATTTTAACCCCGTAATAGCGACTCGACATTTAGACAAACGATTTTTGGCTGTGGGACTAAAGAAAATCACTTTTTGTAGCCGCGGGGTCAAAGGAATACCTGAAAATGTAAGATAGTTTATGTATTTTGCGTTGCGTTTGAAAAAAAAAATGTTCACAGACTTCTTTACTTTAAGCATGGCGCATTTTATAGAGTATGGACAACCGATAACACCAGCTCGTTTCTCATATCTAGTCAGCATCATGTTGTCCCTTATTCATTTTCAGTAATATTAACATCAGTGACTTTGTAATGGCTCATTTTATTTTTAGATAAAGGATTGTGTTATATTCTTCCAGGTATATCAACAACGGTAACTAACTTGCATTTTCTTCTTATGAGTTTTCCTGTGAAAAAGGACTTTGTTAAATTATTCCTGTCCTTAAAATACAACTAAATAAAGATCACACAGTAAACAAGTCCCATACCCCCACCCTGGGGGTACTCACTAAAATGGCCAAAACGAGGAAGCTGACCGCCCGAAAGGGCTACCTTTTCTAGGCTTCAGGTATATGAAAGGGTAGTAATTTTACTAGTTGAAGTATGTAAAAGGGCAGGGAAATCTTTGATTACTACAATCGCTGAATGTTTTTCTTTAAAAAAAAATCGTTAGTTACAAAAGTGCCAGATTGTTACAAAAGTGCCCCACTCGTTACAAAAGTTCCCTATAACGTTACAAAAGTTCCCTGTTGTCGTTACAAAAGTGCCCTAGTGACGTTACAAAAGTGCCCTTGGTTACAAAAGTTCCCTACCTTGGTTACAAAAGTTCCCTATCCCGTTACAAAAGTGCCCTTTTTTCGTTACAAAAGTGCCCGTTCTTATGGCTCTCTCTCTCTCTCTCTCTCTCTCTCTCTCTCTCTCTCTCTCTCTCTCTCTCTCTCTCTCTCTCTCTCTCTCTCTCTCTCTCTCTCTCTCTCTCTCCCTCCCTCCCTCCCTCTCTCCCTCTCCCTCTCTGTCCCAACACTTGCAAATATATTTACGTGGGTCTTTTTGTAATTTGGTGGGGTCCCTTTGGGCTTACAACTACCGTGACCCTCCCCACCCACCACCGTACCCATTTGTCGTTTACCAGGAGCGTTATTTCACTTTTTAATAGATTCGTTACAGCCAACCCAAAAGGCAGGAGCTTTAATGTAAATTTACTGTTTGTTGTTAAAATATATGAAAATTTTATCACTTCACTCAGTTTGTATTCAAAAAGGAAAAAGGAAATCCTCATTTAATGATACACATAATTCTATCAGTTCCTGTAGGGAAATTGGCACTAAAACCTTGGGATTAACTATTTTTAAGGCTTTTATTTCAAAAGGAGTGGTAGAAACAGGCAAAATTATGTTTGAGAAAATAAGCCAAGAGCCAGTGATCTTCCATCTATTTGGCCCTCGTTCACGACCTGTACTCGAGCTCTCGCTGTAGTTTGACTACAGTTTTGTATCAGTTTTAAATGCATCACCGGGGATATTGGACAAGAAAGTACGTTTTTTTGTAAGCGTTTACATACGTTTTCAACTCTCACAGAATAGACCTTTTTAGCTTGTAGGTTTTGTTTTCCCATCTCGGGACATTTGATGGTACCCCAGAGAAATGTTTCTTTAATATGTTGTGCTATGCACTTACATCCACGTGCGCATGTTTGCATAATTTATGAAAAGACAAAAGGCTAAATCCCCTGGAGAAAACCAAAACATACTAGCTTGGTAAGTCAACATGGCCGCCCTTTAAATGTTTTGGAACACCAATATTGCAGCCATATATGATGGAGAAGGGTCGCAATTTTTTGGTTTTGTTTAAGAGGAGAAGCTGACGGGTTTAACAGGTAGGGACAAGAGGAAGCCGAAACATGTTTCGGAAAAAAACATCGAAATTGTGCGTTTCCAAAAAGACGTTGTGAAGTAAGTATTTTTTTTTTTCCAGAGTACGCAGAATATGAGTGTGTTCGTTCGCGTGTAGATCTCGGTAGGGCTGTTGGAATGATCGAGATTCAACCTCATTTCAGGCAGGCGCTAGAGGCTTGAGTCGAGATGAGTAACTGAAAACAATTTTAACAGTGAAGCACAAGGCATCAGCTAAATACTAAACTGAGTATTGTCATGTTTTCTCATACTAGAAACTTTAAAAGGAAAAAAAACATCAGACAAGCAAATCTCTCAAAAGGGAAAACCCAAGGATGAGAAGTTTTTTTGGAGAGAATAGAATTTGAAAACTGAGTTGGCGAAACTTACCATTTAATTGCCTCTTGGCTTTCCAAGCTTTAAACAAAACGACTCTTGACAAACGACGATTCGCATTTTAATTCTACTTAAAGTTTATCACTTCAGGCAGATCGCTAATCATAAATAACGAATTGAAAAACAGAAGTTCCGAAATGGATCCCTGTGGTACCCTAGATAAGATATTCAGCTAAGTTAAACAATTTACGCCATTAACAACATTTGTTTTTTATTTGATCATGAGATTCCAGAGTTACGCAATTTATGCAACAGTCTCTTGTGGTGTACGCGATAGAAGAATGCTTGTGAAGTCCAGAAACAGCGCATAAACGTCAAGACGGTCCAACGCTTTATTCCACATGGACCAGTTGGCTTATAAAGGAGCGCCCTTTCACGCAGCTATGCTGCTCATCAGAGAGAAAAGGTGATAAATGCGAGAAATAGCGCGGTGGACAATTCTTTCCTGGCGTTTGCCCAAAATTTTGTAACAAGGAAATAGATCTATAGTTTTCAACTTTCTCCATGGTATTTGCTTTTAAAACTGGTGTTATACTGGCACGAGGAAATTTCGCCCAGGCAAAACGACAAATTCAACAGCGCCTTGGCACAAATTTCAAAAATACGTAAGGGGATGTCATTGACACCGGTTGCTTTGTTGACGTCGAATTGAACAAAATGTCTCCGACTTTATAATGAGTGGTAAATATTTTCAAAATGAGATCTGGGTGCACCAAATCACCAATAAGATCATCAAAAGGAGAGCCATTTGACAAGTACAGTGTACTAAAAAAATTCTTTGAAGAAGGCAGCCTTTAATTTATATAATCAGACGGATCTGAAACTATTCTACCTTTACAGGCAACTACTGCTGGGGTCTCCTTGTTTTTGATTTGATGGCATGGAAGGACCAAAACGTCTTATGGTCCTATTTCAGTTGCTCGGACAAGAATTGGCGATATTGATGATTATTTGTTGTGGTATTTCCACAAGGCTTTAATTTTCATTCTAAACAACTCCATTACTAAGAGTTATAACTGCGAGTTACCGTTTTTTCTTTTAAATCCAAAATGGCCTTAAACGACTTCTCAGAGTCTTATGTTATGAACTTGCCCATGTTTCTGGCGACTTCTTTCTGGTGTACACATGAAGAGGTTCAATTTTGTCTCGCATTTGGTTAGCCTTCGAATACAGCCGTTTCTCCTAGCTCCTCGCCGCGGAAACGGCTGTATTCGCAAATTAGTCACATCGGAATAAGTATCATTCATTGGTGCCGTGATGAAGTAAGCGAACAGGATAGCTCCAAAAAAAATATTTCACCTTGTAGCAGTTTTTGGAAAAAAGGTTCCACACCTTAGGATTTCATCCACAGACTCAAAATTTAGACACATCAGTTGTACTCAGATCATAAAAAAAGTCCTGCAAAGAAGCATTCATTGGCTGGGTTAAAATGCAATCCGGCTTTTCAAACAGTTTAGATAAATACAGCTTTTCAAGTGATTTATGTTTTTATTGAAGCACCTCTATTATAGTGTACTGGTTAATTAAAAACGAATGTAACTCAGGATCATTAAACTGGCGTTTTTCAATACATTTGTCTGGCAGAAGATTACTTGATTTTAACTTCATTGAAAATAGTTATTGTTAGAATGTTAACACCTCAAGAGACATACGCTTTACTTAGCACAAAATGCCAGAAATATCTCAAAAATCTTTTGAACGTATCTTCATCTCAGTTTTCTTGACAGAGTAGCAGCTACCCTTCGGCCAATAGAGCCAGCGCATTCCCTTACAGTCGTCCTTACCATTGAGGTACAGACCATTCAGGTTGGAGTTGTGACAATCGCTGTACCACCAGGCGCCTTTATAAAGCAAGGCACAGCTTGCTTTGTATTTATCGTTATCACGATCCTTGGTGGAAAATGACATACCACGATGACGTGGACCAAGTGCATCACCAGCAGTTCCTACAAAAAAGGGGAAAAGCGAATTATAGGTCTATATTTCTCGGTATTCTTTCGCAGAGTTTTTCAACCGGTCAATTTCACTTGTGCATAAACAATCCTAGTCCACTTAAATTAATCCAAACCGGAAGAAGCACCTCTAGGGTTTTTTAAAAAAATTAAATTAAAACGTCCTCCGAAAGGTCTAAAAAGACCGCCTTAAAAGGAACATGAAAGATCACATTTGGTAAAGTTACGAAACCGGTGGAGATCTTGTACTTGCTGGGAATTCAGCGAAATACCGTAATTTCTGAACTCTCAAGACGGGGGCAAATCCTTTTTAAACTTTTTGGTATAATCTAATATGACATTACAAATATATAGGTCAACTGTTGCTGTAAAAATCAACTAACAACTTTCACATTCCAATCGCGATCACTTGGGCAAGACAAAAAATCTTACCTTTCTTTCTTTCTTTTTTCTTGTTATTGTATTTTCCAATTTGTAACATTTTTCGCCGACTGATTCTTTTTTCAGTCTTGTATAAACTTACCTGAATAACTTCCCAAATTCAGTTGGTATTTTGCTCTCTCGCTTGTCACAGAGAAGGAGCTGTACTCTGCGAATGCAGTTTTTCCATGAATGTCCTCCAAGTCGACACGGAGTTTATAACTGCCACCGCTTACAGTCAGACGATGAATCTTGTCCAAACCGAGCCAAAACTCAGCGTTCAGATTACCAAAACCGCGTTTGTAATCATCCCAAGCGCGGAAGAAATCAACAGAGCCATCTCGCCTCTTCTGAAACACCGTCCAACCTCCACCGGCTGTTTTCTGATCACAGAACACTTCAAATTCGCCTAAACCATCAGGATTGATTTTATACACTCCACTGATCTTGTCACCGGACTTGTAGACTTCAGCGCAGTTCTTGTAAACTGAAAACAAAATGACCATCTGATTGAATTATTATTTTTTGTTTTGTTTTCGTTTTTTTTTTTTTTTTTTTTTTTTTCATAGGCGTTTTTCTTCAAGGTAGACATAAATAATTTGTTGAGAAAATAGTCTTATGAAGAACTTATAGAATAAGAGATAAAATCAGAATACTTGTACGATTTCAGCGAGATTTTGCAAGCGGTTTTGATGGTATTTTAGAGAGACATTGATGACAATAAGGATCCACTTTGCTCATTTCTAGTACATATTAAGTTGTTGTTACAAACCTTTTCCGTTGTCAGACCCATTAGTTTTATTTTCTCTCAATGCCCTGATTTCTTGCCGTATTTCCCCTAGTTGTTGCTCGATTTTCTTGCAGTTTGGTCCGGCGTAGAAGCTGTTGTAGTTATTATTCACATTGCAGTGAGCTTCCTTCGTCGGTTTAACTGTAGAGTTGGCAAGTGTTGCGATAAAGTAAGCAAAAAGGATAGCTCCAACAAAATATTTCATCTTACTCTTATGAGCAGTTTCAAATGGTACTGAAAATTTAGAAAAGAAATGATGCAAAGCCTTCCGCAGAGCCTTGGTATAGGTTCTAATTTTTAGACAAGATTTTTCTCGTCTGTGTATTTTTAGTAGGTGCTGTGTCATCTATTATTACCAATAAAATTACTTAACATTTGCATAGAACATCGTGTGACCGAACAATAAATATTTATTCATGCATCATAATGTATACTTTCATACCTTTGCGTTAGCGATGTTTTGTGAAACAGAACTCTGAAGAGTAAAATCTTAGGTTTAGGTTTTACATTGAAGAATCTAACCCGGTAAAATATTTCTGTCAGTTTATGGGCAGGATGCTGAATCATCGGCAATTGCCGGCGCCGTGTTCGTCCAAGTTCCTATTTTCATCTTTGCTTGAACATACTTTAATATTAGTTTACCTACCGTAAGTTGGAATATCTCATGTTTACGTTTTAAAATCGTGCTTCGTCCGGTCTCGCTAACCTACTGCTATAGGATAAAGTAAGGTTTGCAGTCACTGGCGAAATAACCCGTGCTGGGAAGGGTGAAGTGGATACTTATAGGGGATGAATGCACTCTTCAGTCGGCCTCAAACATTCCTGTGTAGCCTGTTAATACAACGGCCTCTTAATGCTCCCTTCCGCTGGCACTCTTCGCAAGCGGCGGTGAGCTATTAGAAACGACTGTATTCGCAGGCTAGCTCGAGTGGAACGCTGAGAAAAACGCAAAACCTCGAGTAGCTTTGACCAGAATACATGTATATCGAATGAAAATCTCATTGTAACGCCGTGGTCCACACAGTATGCTATATACACCAGCTACGCTTCCTTTAGGATACTTTCAAGATTCTCGAAACATTAGGATGACTTTTTCCAACAGAAATACGCCGAAAAGTAACTCGTGCAGAAAATGTTTACAAAAGAACGAAAGTGTAAAAGAGACTATAACAACTTTGCAAACGCGATTCTCTCCGACAGCGTTCTAGTCAAATGAAACAAATTATCTATCATTGTATTTAAAAAAATAAATGCGACTATGTAGTTACTGTAGGTATATGTAATGAAAGCACTCCGAAGAATATGCTTGAAGTAACTTCTAAACTAAACAGCATGACTTTATAGCTAAGTGTGTTTTTGCGGTTCTGTGATTGTTGATAATCGGCGAATTACAAACGAAGCTTTATTCCAGGAAAACCGAGTATTAAAATACAAAATTGATTTACTAGCTCCTTTTCCAAAACGCGAAAGTCGATGGGTAAAGGAGACGGGCAGCTGGATTCATGAAAAAAGAACAAAGGAGAATTCTAAGGACAAAGGAAGTTATAGTACGAGTGATTATACAGAGGTCAAGTGTGACAAGCTAGTATCCTTTATTCTTATTTTGTGTTCAGTAAATAATTCTATTGTTTAGTTTGACGGTTTTTCATTTCAGGAAATACAAGAACGTGACGAGCGCAACGGTATCAAGACTTTCCTTTCAGATTAAATTTGACTATGAAATGAACAAATTCCACCACGCAAGATAAGAACACAGCATTTAATGTCTTTCCACACCAATACCACGCTGAGGAGTTTCATTAAAAACGGATCGATTTTAACACGCTTTGGAACTGAGTAGATCAAAACAAAAACGGATACATATCATTTTAGTGTGGACGGTCGAAAACGGTCAAAAATGAAACAAGGTCCATCAGGCCGGATAGTTTGTAGTATAGTGTAGTAAAGCTTTGTAAAGCTGTGTAAGGTACCTAAAGTTACATTATATGTGTGTATGTTTGTGTATTATAATATTCGGTACATTATAATTCCCCATACATGACGTTCCTACCGTCCATCAAAACGAAAACGATGACCAGAAGTATCGCAGGCCTCTCGACGAGTAGGGTTCAACTTACGTCTCAACTTCCACCCCAGCGTTTTCGGTTTTCGAACGTTTTGGTGCGTGTGGCAGTCAAAAACGCAGCAAATCGGTCCCGGTGTGGTCCCGGTGTTTGGGCAATTTCAATTGAGCATTAAGCAGTCCGGAATATCCCTAAATTTAAGGACAGGGCCAACTGGTCACGCGACACTTTTCAACCAATGAGAAGGCGCGTTTGTGTTTATCAACAAACAAATCAAAACATCGCCCCAGTGATAAAAAATTTTCAAAACAACGGACGGAGTCTGACAGAATTAAAAATGAGCTTACAGTACTCGTCTAGGTTTCACATTTAATATTTCAAAGAAAACATGTCATGTAAGAGAATAAGAGCATTAATCATTGCAAGGAATCATTGGGGTGTTCGAACTGATTCCGGACCGATCGCAGAGGTCGTGGCTTCACTGGCATGGCTTGCAAGATTTTTGATACAAGCAAACTCGTCTCGCGTAAAAATAGCCTTAGAGAGAGTGTGAAAATTTGTTGAGATCGTACAAAACAGCATTGGTACTACCTATTAACTTCTACAGGACAAGAATCAAAGAAGCAGTCATCATAACAAGAATAGAAAGTAGTTCAAATTTATTAATTTTTCTTGTTTGTTTTTTTGTGTTGTTTCGTGTTGACTTCCCGCATCTGGTGCTTTCTTTGCTTGCTGTAGTACCTGCAATGTTTTAATTTTATCCCAGATAATCAGTGCATGTTCAATGAGTAGCGAAATACAGCATTTACAATTGAGATTTTCCTTGTTTCTTTGATTGTTCTTTAACGGTGGATGAACATTTGGAGAATCCAACAACATTAAATCTTTCCAGGTTATTGAATTTCAGAAACAAAGCGGTTAGTATCTACCTTGCGCTTATGATCTTCAATTTCATCCCCGCAAATTCGGCAAAGTGAGGCGAGATGTTGGACGTGAATATCCATAAGACTAATAAAGTTTTGGGCTTGAAAAGAAAAAAGGCAAAGGTTCGTACTAATGCGAAAAAAAGTAATAACACGGCTTTTGTCAGAAACCCGGGAGTGGAAAACGTACGTGTTTTGGACCTCGGAATTCAAAAATTGTCAACCAAAATTTCTAGGTTGTCTGCCACCCCCACATTTTTGATCACTGGGGCAATGTTTTGATTTGTTGGTTGATAAACACAAGCGCGCCTTCTCATTGGTTGAAAAGTGTCGCGTGACCAGTTGGCCCTGTCCTTAAATTTAGGGATATTCCGGACTGGAGTTGTGATAAGCTTTTAATTAAGTTATAAAAAGAACCACTGACATCAATTTGCAGCAGCTTATTCAAGAGTCCATCATGCCAGACCGAGTCAAAGCTTTTTTGAAATCTACAAAACAAGCATAGATCTTTTCGTTGTGATTATGAACGTACTTATCTATCACGGTTCGAAGAGTGAAGACGTGGTTTGCTGTGCGGTTATTCGGTAAAAACCCAATTTGAGATTTGTGGAGCATATTCAAAGAAACAATATACTCGAGAAGTCGTTGGTTTAAGATAGAACAAAATAGTTTTCCCAGGCAGCTGGAGACACAGATACACCGGTATTTTTTGCCGGATCGCTTCGTCCGCCCGATTTATAGATGGGAGTAATAAGACCACCACACCAAGTCTGTGGCATGGTCCCTTGGTTAAGAATTGAATTAAATAATTTTTCACATACAGGGATCAGTGTATCAATACTAGCTTTTATCATTTCATTTATCCGAAAATGGTGATTTATTATTCTTTAACTTTTCCACAGCTTTACGTATTTCTCTTTCAGTTATCATGAAATCTAAAGGACGAGAGTGTTGACCATGGCATTCATTTTGTCGTTGCTCATTGCAAATGTTTTGCTGCACTGGGTTAAGAGGTTCATTTGAATGAAGATTGTGGAAATATTGTAGACAATTTTCTTCCTAGATTGATTGAACATCCTTTCCTTTTCTAGTGCCGTTCATCGATTTAAGGCATTGCAATAAAGTTTTCGCTTCTTAATAGTCTGCAGTTTTTTCTAGCTCAGAAATCTTGGCATTGTGATAATCCTTTTTTGTAGAATTAAGTAATTTCTTGTATTGGGCCAGAGTACCATGGTATTGCTCACGTATGGTAGTATTCAAAGGGTCTTGATGTTTCTTTTTTGGTAGTTTACGTAATTCATGCCTTTATTAGAAGATTAGAAGAGGTGTGATCGCCAGATGCATCCCCTTCTTCAATATGACAATTATATATGTGAACTTTTCGGGCTTTCTTTTCGAAACTGCAAAAGTTGAGTCTATAACTACGATGATCTTCTTTCATTATAATTCCCCTTATATCGCCACACATGTGACTTTTAGGGTATTACCGTACATGAATTGCATTAAATATATATTATTAATAAGATAAACAATCTTTGACAGGAAGAGACATAAATACTTTATTTGCAAGCAAATCCGGCTAGGTCAATCTTGGACCCCACCGTGAGCTGTGACGTCAGACAACAGGGCAAAAGAGAACGGGCTAGGGACTAGGCTGCAAACAAATAATTCATATGTTCAGCAAAAAGATCACGTAAATCATTCTACTTATTCGATTGACGTTTTTATGCAGTTCAAGAGATACAAGTACATGACAAGCCCAAGTAGAAAGAGTTTGCGTTGCTTTCAAGATCAATCTTACTACGTATTGGACAACTTCTGTCGCGAGATTTAAGAACACAGCATTTTTATTTCCCATTTTCAATTTCCATCGGTGCTCTGTGGCAAAATGAAAATTTATCCTGAATACTCACGGGGGTCCTGTTATATTTTTGGGTCTCTTAACCAACAACACTGACCCTCCCCGCCCTCCGCGTCCACTTGTCGTTCGCAGAGAGCGTTTTACTGTTTCCTGTTTTCAATAGATTCGTTCCTGACCCCAGAAGGAAGGACCTTCAATATACATCTGCTCGTTGCTATAATATGTAGTATTCAGAAAAAATATTTAAGCAATTCAGTCAATTCAATCAAGTAATCCATATTTTATTGAAGCGCTCTTTTATAGCGGAGCTCTCGCGCGCGAAGCGCGCCAGCGGAGCACCATGGGTAAGAAGATGAAGTAATCTACCCATTCGAGAAAATTTGGTAATCACGTGACCGTACACCCAGAGACCGTCCGTTCGCACCACAGGCATACCAATATAAAATAACTTCAACAACAGGTATGGCAACCCAAATGCAACTCGAGGATATTTTGGCGGGAAATCGCATAGCCACCGGCGTCTTGTAAAGCAGAGACGACAAAAGAGTCAATAAAGACGAAAACGGAAAGCGGAAATTGATTCTGTATCCGTGTTGTCTAAAGTATTAAGCTTAGATAAATTGTTATGTCCACAGATTTGGAATATAGAGCAAGAGAAAGACAGAGAAAAAGGAAAGTGGGCGGCAGGCCAGCGAAGCTCAACGAGAAAAAGGCCGACAGGGATTTAGACCGAGAGATAAAAAACAAAGGAGACATATTTTTGTTGGAAGAACAACATGAAAATTTTGTAGCGGCGGTGACAAAATGAGAAATGCTAGCGGCCACCAACGCAAGGTGAAAATGAGCGGCAGTGAAAAAAAGTGAACGGGAATACATGCGACATTTCCTCCATAAAACCTGTAACTAAGAAGTTTCTGGAAGTTTCACGTTGTAGTTGTGCAAAAAAAGGCAAAGAAATGTACAAAAAAAGTGTGCTGCAAGAGCAAAGTTGCTTTTTGCTAATTAGACCTATTGTTGTTTTTCACCGTTTTCCGGCGTAGCATGCCTTCGCCGCTTAGCATTACACGATTTTATATTTTGTTTGAATAAACCATAAATATTATCGAGAGCTTCGCTTTTAGCCTAGGCTAAATCTATATATTAGCATACTATTCGCGACGGTCCCTTTCAGGCTCGCTGAATAAGAGACGGAGAAATGGAACCGCGCTTGATCTAGTTGGAAGTGAAAAGGACAGGGAAGGGAGGGAGGGAAAAGAGAAGCGCGGCCGCGTAAGGTGTGATACGTGAAAGGGAGAGACAAACAATTCACGGTTGCCTGCAGCCAAAGGATTCTTACGCGAACTGGGCAGAAATGAGATGCGGAGCTCTTATTTATACTCGCGTTGCAAGGGACTGGCGCGAATAGCATACTATTCACGACAGTCCCTTTCACGCTCGCTGATTAAGAGACGGAGAAATGGACCCGCGCCAAGAAGTTAAACGTTAGATACGTCCTAAAGAACCCAGACACTGCCAAAACTCAAAGAATAGAAAAACCCAGTTCTCCAACACTGAAGGTGAAGGGGTGGAACAAAAGTACTCATAAACTCAGGTTAAAGTGAAACAACTACACTGCTGATACTTGCTGGGAGCTGGGCAAGGAGGTCTTTCAGGGAGTACCAAAAGGACTGCGTGATAAAACACGAATAGGCTGCCAACTCTTGAGTGGCAACAAGAGGAAGGGCAAGGGAAGGCAGCCTGAGCGTCAGTAATCCGACTAGGGCATTAGACACCCTTTCAGGCTACCATGGAAGCACAGGAAGAAAAACATATCAAATGACGGCAGAAAAGGCGAGGGACGAATAGCACACATAAACTAAAAGAATAGAAAAACAATTAGGAACACAAGGGAGCAAAAACAAAGGGACAAGGGAGTAAACGCGCAGAACTGGAGGCCGCGTGGCGAAACACGCAGACTAAATTGCAGAAAAATGCAAAGGAAAACGTTATCATTCAAGATCTACAGGGCCGAGGAAATAACACCACTGTAAAAAGCGTAAAATAAAACACGCCCAACAGATTGACCAAATAAGGCACAAATGCAACAAAAGTGATGAACCAACTTTACGGGAATCGAAGGAAGATTAAATTAGTAAGGCAAAGAACGCAGAACACAAAGTTAAAACTATATACTGACAAAGCAAAAAATAAAGCGTGCAAATTCGAGGGGAGCCGGGAAAAATCACTGCACAAACCGGAGCTTGTTGGGCAAAGCACGCATAAAAAAAGCAAACTGAATAAAACAAAGAAAAGCAAAAGGCAGTAAACTTGAGGGGAGCCGAAGGGAAAAGCACTGCACAAGCCCGATGTTGGTGAGGTAAAACACACAAAGCAAGAAATTACTGAATAAAGCAAAATAAACACAAGCCGATGCAACAAACTTGACGGGAGCCGAGGGAGTAGCACTGCACAAACCCGGTGTTTGTGAGGCAAAACACGCAAAACAAAGTTCTGACTAATGGACTGGTCAAAAAGTATAGGGGGTGGGCCGGAGCAGAGAGGGGTGGGTCATGAGGTTTTGAGCCTTGTGCAAGGGGTGGGTCGTGCAATTTTCAGCTACCCTTAGGGGGTGGGTCATGCTATTTTATTGCATAGATAGGCACTAACTACTAACGAGACAGTCGACTACACTTGTTATATAAAACACAGCCAGCTGGAATTATTACTAAAATACTCACAAACCTGTGGTGAGAGAAAATACAAAGGGTGACAGGCCGAGGGTCGAGGGAAAAACACTGCACAAACTGCAGATAGCGAGGCAAAGTACGAATAACACCGCTACTGGATAATACAAAAGCAAAGCATTAACGTGCAAAAACCTTACGGGAGCCAAGGGAAGGGTAGTAAACAAACTGGGAGTATAGCGCCAGCGAAACACAGGCGAGGGAAAGTCAGTCATCGGCACTGTACTGGCGATTGGGCTGTCTGAAGCAGAGCTGGAGCTTGTGTAACATTGGCCGGGGCGGGACCGGTTCGTCAGCCATCTTAATAAAACAAGAATCGGTTAACAGAGTGAATGGACTCTTACGAGAACTGAACAGAAATGAGATGCGGATTTCTTATTTATACGCGCGTTCTCTCAAACGAGAAAGCATGAGAAGTTTTTTGGCGAGAATAGATTTAAAAACTGAGTTGGCAAAATTTGCCATGTGATTGTCTCTTCGCTCTCGAAGCTTCAACCAGAATGGCTCTTGACACTGAGAAGATTCGCATTAATTCTACATAAAGCTTACTACTTCAGAGAAAACGGCTGTATTCTCAGGCTAGCCCTTGGCGTAGTTAGTCGCATCGGAATCAGCATCATTCAACAGTTTTTCCGTCAAGCCGTGCAAGTGCCGTGATGAGGTAAGCGAACAGGATAGCCCCGCAAAAATATTTCACCTTGTAGCAGTTTTTGGAAAAAAGGTTCCACACCTTAGGATTTCATCCACAGACTCAAAATTTAGACACATCAGTATAAGTACACATGCAAAGCGCCACAGCAAAGTCCTGCAAAGTAGCATTCATTGGCTGGGTTAAACTGCAATCCGGCTTTTCATTTCAAACAGTTCAGATAAATACAACTTTTCAAGTGATTAATGTTTTAATTGAAGCACCTCTATCACAGTGTACTGGTTAATTAAAAACGAATGTAACTCAGAATCATTAAACTGCATGGCGTTTTTCAATACATTTGTCTGGCAGAAGATTACTTGATTTTAACTTCATTGAAAATATTTATTGTTAGAATATCAAGACCTCAAGAGCATTCATTGGCTGGGTTAAACTGCAATCCGGCTTTTCATTTCAAACAGTTCAGATAAATACAACTTTTCAAGTGATTAATGTTTTAATTGAAGAACCTATCTTACAGTGTACTGGTTAATTAGAAACCAATGTAACTCAGAATCATCAAACTGGCGTTTTTCAATACATTTCATCCCTGGCAGAAGATTACTTGATTTTAACTTCATTGAAAATATTTATTGTTAGAATGTTAAGACCTCAAGAGACATACACTTTACTTAGCACAAAGTGCCAGAAATATCTCAAAAATCTTTTGGACGTATCTTCATCTCAGTTTTCTTGACAGAGTAGCAGCTACCCCTCGGCCAATGGAACCAGCGCACTCCTTGACAATCGTCCTTACCATTTAGGTACAGACCACCCAGGTTGGAGCTGTGACAACGGTTGTACCACCAGGCGCCTTTATAAATCAAGGTACAATTTACATTGTATTTATCGTTATCACGATCCTTGGTGGAAAATGACATACCACGATGACCACCAAGCGCATCACTTGTGCGTAAACAATCTCAGGCTACTTAAATAAATCCAAACTGGAAGAAACACTTCTAGGTTTTTTTAAAACAAATTAAATTAAAACGTCCTCCGAAAGGTCTTAACAGACCGCCTTAAAAGGAACATGAAAAATCACATTTGGTGAAGTTACGAAACCGGTGGAGATCTTGTACTTGCTGACAATTCAGTGAAATACCGTAATTTCTGAACTCTCAAGACGTGGGCAAATCCTTTTTAAGAGCGGCCGTCCGTAAATATCGCCTGGGGGTGTGCAAGATAAAAAAATCAAAAATCCCCAAACTTTGTCAGAATATAGGTCTAGGTAAACTATTTCTAGAAAAATAACTTTTAGTTTGATTGGATTTTTATTTTACGCGTACGGCGACCGAGTCGGTTCGGAGGCTCTCAGATCAGTTTTCACGGGCTCAAGACCATATATTACTTAAAAATCGTTTAAAAATTAAAGAAGTAAAAAACTCTGCCTCTGAAAATCTTAATAGAGAGAGTACAACTTAACCAATAGTTTCGATGTGAAATTTTCCTATTCGTCAGCAAATCTAATATTTTTCGGATTTTTAATAATTTTACTTATTTTACCGATTTTTGACAGACATAAAATTGGCAAATTTCAGACACAAAAATCACTACTTGGTATACGGCTTTGAGCCATAACTTACCTACTGATAGAAAGAGCAAGGTGTCTTCCTCAAATAAATGCAATAAAATTTTTCGGCAATCCTGTAGGGAAAATTTTTGAACGCCAAACAAAAGCGACCCTTGAGGTCAAAACACGCCATTTTGTTACGACATTCGAAGGGTAAAAACAACGATACTCCCGGTTAAAAAGATACTTATGCGTTTTTCCGCATGGAACTCTTTCCATTTGCAGAGACAATTTCTTTTTAAAGAGCTATATGCCTTGTTCCGTGCATTTTGTTGGGAACCGTTTGCTATACTCTTCGTAAGTTGTCGCGGTCGATGAAACGTCATAGCTTTTTAGGACTCAAAATAATTCACGCAATTCAACGTGGAATTGTAACTTTCTTAATATGATACTAAGAAACCCTATTTATACACCTACCATTTCTTTAAAGCCTATTAAAGATATGCAACAGCGTACTGTCTTCCCATCCTGTACCAAATACTTGTATATCACCGAGCGGGAATATCACGTTTGCGTGACACAGAAGAGGAAGTGCAATGCACTTCAAACCGGAAGCTGACTGAACAATTTAAGTAGTAGGCCTAGACAGTTATTCAAAACTATCCCAGCCTGAAACTATCCCGTCCTAGGACGTCTCTCTTTTTTTTCTTTATATTTTAGCTGATTAGATCTTTTTGCTAGAGATCCAACGTTGACAACCAGCAGGATCTTCGTCTACGGCTTCTGGAGTTTATTTCTTAAAGTTTCGTAGTGGGCAACAAATTCAATAGAAACGTTTAACATAGTAAACAGCAATCTTTAAAAAGGCTCTAACTTATGACTAGTTAAAACATGAGAGAAAATAAACTGAACTGACTGACTGAACACACTATGACAACCTTCCACTTCCGGTTTAAGAAATAAAGTGCAAAAGCCGTGAACGAAGATCCTGCGTGATGGTTGCCATCGTTTGATCTCTAGAAAAAAAGATCTAATCAGCTAAAATATTGAGAAAATAAAACTGAGACGTCCTAAGACTACTGCAACGTGTATCACTCGAGTACACAACGCCGTCAGCAGCTGCAGGATTGGCAGGAAGCTTTGTCGTTAAGTTTGCTATGATGTTGTCATCCACAAAAGAGAACATCTTAAGCTCTTCCAGTGAGACAGCATTAGGCCTTAATCCTTGAACCTGAAACGGACAGCAGGGGCGTACAGCGTGCTGCCTTTGATGTATGTACTGTTGTACCATATTTGGAATATTATCACAGGATACCCATCCATTATGGAAACGGAGTCAATCTGGGACATCCTCACATCCATATTTGGAATCTATCAACATATGATACCCAAGCGATCAAAAGGCAATAAATTTTCTAGTAAAGTTTCTTGCGAATTTCCAGAGAAAACGTGTTGAAATATCAATTGTTTATGAATGTAATTTAAAAATAGTGAAAATATGCCAAAAATGTGCTAACTTTGAGAGTGGCTCACTCTCCGAAAAGCTGCTCAGAATCGAAAAAAGTAGTTCAAAATCGTACAAGTTGCTAAAAAGTTACCGAGGAGAATCTGTCTAGGCCTAAATTTAAATTTAGCCGAAACTTTGTTTTTCTTTCAGTTGTGTTTTACACTTAGCGTCAGTGACATCCATATTAAACCCCAATTCCACACCCCGACTCCCTGCCCCACTCTACCTCCGCACACGCACAAGCCGTGAGACACAGTCCCTCGTTAGCTTGGATGCCAGGAGATTTAGGAGTAAGGCCATTCAACCACTCAGTCCCAAAAGGGTAAATTTGCTTATCAGCTTTCCAGATTTTCTGTTATTACGCAATGAAATTGGAAAAATACTGTGCTGCGGAATGTTAGAAGAGAGTAGGTGGACATGCTTAAAATCTCAGTAATCAGTTACAAGAGCACGATTTTACGCGTTCATCGATCAGTTTTACTGAAATATCTTCGTTTTCCAGATCAGCATATCAAACGCACGGGGTACCCAACAAAGTTTTATGCGGGGAGTCACTGCCCCAGGAATGAACCCATTGCTTATTTATATACCATTTTTGACTGTTTCATCCATGATTTTTTTTGTTTTTTTTGGGGGGGGGTTGGTTTGCTGCTTCATTTTTCATGATTCTGTCCAAGATTGTAGCTCCATGGGGTGTTCTATAATCTGATGATCTTTTGGCTTAAAATAAGCATGCCAGGATAAGCAGACCAGATATCCCAAAATAATAGATAACGCATGTGGCATAATTTTTTGTTTCTCAAAAGTTTCGTCAGTCTTTTGGTTTCGTAATCAGTTCGTCGCACTTTCAACCAGCCAACTGACATATATTTTAAACTTTAAATTTTAGTTTTAGGAAGGATTTAGTGCATTATGCAGCACAAATCTTACTTACTCCTACCAGAACTTTTCAGACACAGGGCTGCTGACATTCCCCTTCCCCTTCCTCTGGAGCATCACCCTACCCTAGGACAAAAGTGAGTAACGCATTCTCCTTCCCGTTCCGAGCAGTTACGAGGAGACCGCACTAGCCGGTTATATATTTCCAAAATATCTTCATTTCCTAAGAGATAAGTATTATATTTAGTCTTAATACATCGTTATGTAAGCCAACGTCGGTAAATCTGTTCTTTTATGTGCATGAATTTAATTGGTAGTAAGTTTTGAACCTGGGGTTTTGAAACATGTGACCCGAATGCTGTCAAACATTGACCGCCGGTTAAAATTAGGCTTTCGACTGCCAACGCGCGCATTGTAAGTGAAATAATTAGGCAAAAGAAGTGCAAAGAGCTTTGGAGAAATCTGGCCAATAGAGCCTTTTTATTGATTTAACCGCCTTCGAATGTCGTGACAAAATGGCGTGTTTTGACCTGAAGGGTCGCTTTTGTTTGGCGTTCAAAAACTTTCTCTGCAAGATTGCCCAAAAATTTTATTGCATTTGTTTGAGGAAGACACCTTGCTCTTTCCATCGGTAGGTAAGTTATGGCTCAAAGCCGTATACCAAGTAGTGATTTTTGTGTCTGAAATTTGCCAATTTTATGTCTGTCAAAAATCGGTAAATAAGTAAAATTATTAAAAATCCGAAAAATATTAGATTTGCTGACGAATAGGAAAATTTCACATCGAAGCTATTGGTTAAGTTGTACTCTCTCTATTAAGATTTTCAGAGGCAGAGTTTTTTACTTCTTTAATTTTTAAACGATTTTTAAGTAATATAATGGTCTTGAGCCCGTGAAAACTGATCTGAGAGCCTCCGAACCGACTCGGTCGCCGTACGCGTAAAAAAAAAATCCAATCGAACTAAAAGTTATTTTTCTAGAAATAGTTTACCTAGACCTATATTCTGACAAAGTTTGGGAATTTTCGATTTTTTCATTTTGCACACCCCCAGGCGATATTTTCAGACGGCCGCTCTTAAACTTTTAAATATAATCTAATATGACATTACAAATACAGGTCAACTGTTGTTGTAAAAATCAACCAACAACTTTCACATTCCAATCTCGATCAATTGGGCAAGAAAAAAAATCTGATTTTCTTTCTTTCTTTTTTCTTGTTATTGTATTTGTCAATTTGTAACATTTTTCGCCGACTGATTCTTTTTTCAGTCTTGTATAAACTTACCTGAATAACTTCCCAAATTCAGTTGGTATTTTGCCCTCTCGCTTGTCACAGAGAAGGAGCTGTACTCTGCGACTGCAGTTTTTCCATGAATGTCCTCCAAGTCGACACGGAGTTTATAACCACCACTTACAATCAGCCGATGAATCTTGTCCAAACCGAGCCCTCACCGTTCAGATTACCAAAACTGCGTTTGTAATCATCCCAAGCGCGGAAGAAATCAACAGAGCCATCTCGCCTTTTCTGAAACACCGTCCAACCTCCACCGGCAGTGTTCTGATCACAGAACACTTCAAATTCGCCCAAACCATCAGGACTGATTTTATACACTCCACTGATCTTGTCACCGGACTTGTAGACTTCAGTGCGCAGTTCTTGTAAACTGAAAACGAAGTGACAAACCGATAATAATTAGTTTCTTTGTTTTTACAGGCTTTTTATTCTTCGAAAATGGCTAATTTTTTTTGTGAGAAAATTGTCTTTTCATAAAACTCATAAAATAAGAATAGTATTGCCGTGACATTTTGACGACAATTAGGCAAACATTGATGAGAATGAGGATCCACTTAGTTTGCTCATCTGCAGTACAAATTCGATCAAATTAAATCAAAGTTGTTCTTACAAACCTTTTCCGTTGCCAGACCCAGTAGTTTTATTTTCTCTCAAATATACCCTGATTTCTTGTCGTATTTCATGTAGTTGTTGCTCGATTTTCTTGCAGTTTGGTCCAGCGTAGAAACTGTTGTAGTTATTCACATTGCAGTGAGCTTCCGTCGTCGGTTTAACTTTAGAGTTGGCTAGTGCTGCGATAAAGTAAGCGAACAGGATAGCTCCAACAAAATATTTCATCTTAACTCTTATGGAGAGTCAGTTTAGGAAGGAACGTGGTCTTACAATGTCACTGAAAAATTTAGAGAAAAAATGATACGAAGCATAGAGAGCCTTGGTATAGGTTCTAATTTTTAGACAAGATTTTTCTCGTCTGTGTTTTTTCAGTAGGTGCTGTGTCATCTATTATGACCAATAAAATTACTTAACATTTGCATAGAACATCGCGTGGCCAAAAAATATATATTTATTCATGCATCATAATGTATACTGGCATACCTTGGCGTTAGCGATGTTTTGAGAAACAGAACTCTCTAGATTGTGAAAGGTTTGAACCGTCGCAGCAGTCATTTCAAAAGTAGATTGTGTTTGATCGTCCGGGTGAACGTAGTCCTGAATAGGACTGTTGTTGTTGACAGTGACTGACGTTTCGACAACCTGTGCGGTACAGTACGTTGCCCAGTATCCGGACGGTACCAGTATCCGGACACTTGAAACAAAAAGTCAATTTTTGTAGCGCCCTTTTCAGCTCTCGTTGAACGAAGTATTTCGAATGAAAGCTGAACATTTCAGCTTTAAGATGAAAGTTTTGGCGATTTGAAAGCTTGCGAAACAGTCGAGGAAGACGCCGTTCTGTTCAGGTGAGTAAACTTTTCATGGCTAATACTTACGATGTTTACTGCGCAATAAAATTAGTGCTGCTCAGAAAAGGGAGGGTAATGTGTGATATTTTCAAAGAAACTCTTTTATTTTTAAATTGAAGATACTTAAGGAAGTCAAGTTTTCAGAAAGTTTATTCATTCTTCCTGAAATTCGATTTGTTTGCAATAACGGAGGCCAGAAACATTCACTTAGTGTTGATGTCATGTGCCCAGTATCCGGACAGTTTTTTCTTTGCTGTACAGAATCGATGAATTATCTGTGTACATTATCCGGATAAGATTTATCTGATATCAGTAACTATAATTAAAGCTTAGGATATATGATATAGTCGTAAAAAGTAATTCTACTCATCTCTGTATGGAAATTTTCTTCACTCATTCAGAGGCGACTTGATTTCGTGTGCGCGGCTTTATATATAACTGAAAGCGTCTGAGCTGAACCTGGAATTCTCATACTTTCTCCAGTTGTGACTGCTAGAATGGGGTTGCAACGGTCTGAAACATGTCACAGAGGGATTGAGAGATGTGAAAGAAGGAGAAATTAGTGCTAGAAAAGCAGGCTTATTGTGGGAACTAAGCATGACGAAATCAACACTGCAGCTAAGGTCAGACTAAATAGGAGAGTGACCTTTGACCGTCGGGTTGAGGTCCCTTCCCCAAGCTTTTTTGTTAAATAAAAAATGAAGAAAGAAAGTCGTTTACAGATTGGCTAATTGAGCTTGCAAACTGCGGCTTCGGCATGTCCACGGATGCCTTCCTTAAATCAGTGAAGAAGTTCCCAGACAAGGAAGTAAGAATTATACCATTTTTAAAACAGCCGCCCGCGTTCCCCGCCATACCCCAGTCATTAATATGTCTTATTTCACGATGCTAGGTTATATTTTTGGCATCGATTGCCAGACTACTTTGCAAGTGCAAGAGAAGCTTATAAGTCGCTTGCCTGTCGAAATTTATGCACAGTTACGTTGTTATTGTTGTGTCCGGATACTGGGCCAGCTGTTCGGATACTGGGCAACATAGGAGCTCTGCAAAAATATTAATTTCGCGATGGAAACAAAGGCAAAAAAGTTAAACTGTCTTTCGTCATATTAAGGACTAGATAGATTTTCCCTGGGCCAAATTTCAGAGCTCTTACGATTAACAAAGGAAAGTTATTGCCATCTTAAACTGAAGTGTCCGGATACTGGGCAATATACTGTAGCCATCTTCAGAGTCAAAGGTGAAGATGACTACCGCACAGGTTGTCGAAACGTCAGTCACTGTCAACAACAACCGTCCTATTCAGGACTACGTTCACCCGGACGATCAAACACTACCTACTTTTGAGAACTCTCTAGAGTAAAATCTTAGGTTTAAGCTTTACATTGAAGAATCTAATGAGAATCAGTTCCTCTTTTCATCTATGCTTGAAAATATTCTAATTGTTTACCTACTGTTGGAATATGTTAAATGTTTTAAAATCTTGCTTTTAAGCTGCTTTTAGCTTCGTCCGGTCTCGCTAAACTACTGATAAGGAAGGTAAAGTTGATTCTTTCCTTTTGATCTAAGGTTTGCAGTCACTACTGGCCGTAATACCCCTGTACTTGCTAGCTGGGAAGGGTGAAGTAGATACTTCTAGGCCGGAAAGAATACACTAGTTACCTCAACCGTTCGTCTGTAGCCTGGGAATACAGCTGCTTCTCAACGCTCCCTTTTTCAAGAACTTTTTGCGATGCTAATTAGGAGTCAAGGAGAGATTCACCTTAGAAGATTTATGGGTAAAACCTCATTTCTTTACAATAAAGAGATTAATATTCACGTTTACGCCAAACGACAAACGTGAATTTGCACCACGTGACCAAGTTTTCCCCTTAGTTGTCGTTTACTGTTTATTATTTCTACCCCAAAATAAGTAGTTTGAAGCCAGTTTTCTCCATAAGAACTGTTCTGGACAGTTTTTATCTGCTTATTTTTCTCTCTCTAATGTTGGCTATTTCCGTCAATATATATATATAGGCAGAGATGTCTATATGCGTATGGAGACGGCGGCTGGAAACATAATAGACCAAATAGGAGAATTCTAAGGACAAAGGAAGTTAGTACTATGTACAGGTCAAGTACGACTAGTTATCCTCTATTTCCTATCATGTTCAGTAAATAACGCTATTCTTTAGTTTGGCGTTTTTTTTTTTCAAAGTTCAAGAAATGCAAGTACTTGACAAATATCAAGAGTTTGCTTTCAGAATTAATTTGACTTTGCATAGAACAAATTCTATCACGAAAGTTGAGAACACACCTGTATCTGGTGTCGTCTAAGAATTCAAGTTTCAATTCCTATTACTCTCTTTCTCTCTCTTTTTAACAAAATCAATATTTTCGAAAATACTCATGAGGGTCCTGTTGTAATTTTGTGGGGTTCCTTTGGGCATACAACTAAAGTGACCCTCCCCACCCACCGCACCCATTTGTCGTTAACCAGGAACGTTATTTCACTTTTCAATAGATTCGTTACAGACAATCCAAAAGGCAGGAGCTTCAATGTAAATTTACTGTTTGTTGCTAAAATATTTGAAATTTTTTCACTTCACTGACAGTACCGTTTTGTATTCAGCAAAACTTAAAGGTCACGACGTTTTACTCGGAAAAAGGAAAAAAACCTCATTACACATAATTCAGTTCCTGTAGAGAAATTGGCACTAAACCCTTGGGATTAACTATTTTTAAGGCTTTTATTTCAAAAGGAGTGGTAAAAACAGGCAAAATTGTGTTTGAGAAATAAGTGTACGTGTTTGAGAAAATCAGCCAAGAGGTGATCGTCCATCTATTTGTTTCTCGTTGACGACCTGTTCTCGAGCCCTCGCTGTAGTTTGACTACCTTTTGTGACTATCAGTTTTAAATGCATTACCAGAGGATATTGGACAAGAAAGTATCTTTTTTTGTAAGCGTTTACACACGGAGAAAGTTCAATTCTCACAGAATAGACATTTTAGCTTGTAGGTTTTGTTTTCCCATTTCGGGAAATGTGATGGTACTCCCAGAGAAATGCTTCTTTAATATGCTGTCCTTTGCACGTACATCCACGTGCGTATGTTTGCATAATTTATGAAAAGACAAAAGGCAAAATCCCCTAGAGAAAACCAAAACAAACTAGCTTGGTAAGTCAACATGTCCGCCGTTTCAATGTTTCGGAAGACCAATATTGCAGCCATATATGATGGAGAAGGGTCGCAATTTTTTTGTTTTGTTTAAGAAGAGAAGCTGACGTGTTTAACAGGTAGGGAAAAGAGGAAGCCGATAAATTTTCAGAAAAAACATCGAAATTAAAAAATAATGTACGTTTCCCAAAGACCTTGTGTCGAGTTGAGTGACTGAACAATTTTAACAGTGAAGCACAAGGCATCAGCTAAATATTAAAGTGAGTATTGTCATGTTTTCTCGTACTAGAAACTCTAAAAGGAAAAAAATCATTAGACAAGCAAATCTCTCAAAAGGGAAGACTCAAGCAAGAGAAGTTTTTTGACGAGAATAGAATTTGAAAACTGAGTTGGCAAAATTTACCATTTAATTGCCTCTTGGCTTTCGAAGCTTTAACCACAATGGCTCTTGACAAAACACGATTCGCATTTTAATTCTACATAAAGCTTATCACTTCAGGCAGATCGCTGATCAAAAATAACGAATTGAAAAGCAGGGGTCGCAAAATGAATCCCTGTGGTACACAGGATGAGATTTTCAGCCAACTAAAATAATTTCCATCAATAACAACCATTTGTTTTTTATTTGATAAGTACCAGGGCAACAGCGACCCTAAGATTCCAGAGTTACACAATTTATGTAACAGTCTCTAGTGACGTACGCGATAGAAGAATGCCTGTGAAGTCCAGAAACAGCGCATAAACCTCAAGACCATCGTCCAACGCTTTATTCCACATATGGGCCAGCTGGGTTATAAAGGAGCGCCCTTTCACGAAGCCATGCTGCTAATCAGAGAGAAAAGGTGATACATGCGAGATATAGCCCAGTGGACAATTCTTTCCCGGCGTTTGCCCAAAATTTTGTAACAAGGAAATAGATCTATTTCAACATTCTCTATGGCATTTGCTTTAAAAACTGGTTTTATATTTTGGCACAAGGGAACGTCGCCCATGGAAAACGACAAATTGAACAGCTCTTTGGCACAAATTCCAAAAATACGTAAGGGGATGTCATCTACACCGGTTGCTTTGTTAACGTTGAATTGAACAAAATGTCTCCGACTTGATAATGAGTGGTAAATATTTTCAAAATGAGATCGTATCTGGGTGCAGCAAATCATCAATAAGATCCTCAAAAGGAGAATCATTTGACAAGTACAGCGTGCTAAAAAATTCTTTGAAGAAGGCAGCCTTATAATCAGGTTGATCTGAAGCTGTTCTATCTTTATAGGCAACTAATGCTTAGGTCTCCTTGTTTTTGATTTGACTGCATGGAAGGACCAAAACGTCTTATGGTCCTATTTCAGTCGCTCGGACAAGAATTGGTGATATTGTTGATTATTTGTTGTAATACATTTCTTGTTTGTTTTGATCCTAATTGCTTGAAAAAGGGCAAACAACTCTGGAGGGGAACTTATATTTAGGCATTTCCCCAGGCTTTAATTTTCTTTCTAAACAACTTCATAACAAAGAGTTATAACCACCGTCTCAGAGTCTCATGTTGGGAACTTGCTTCTCCATATCGGATAGTAGTATTAAACTCCTAACAATTTGCTACACTGTCGTTAAGGTCATTGTCAGAAATAGCAAGGTCCTAAGCACTCGAAATCTGCTTTCTAGTAACTAGGAATATTTCTTACTTGGCACCGTAAATTTCCTTCGTAGTGTAAACGTAATGGCGAAATGACTGATCCGACCCAAAAGCGTGTGGAATTAAATACAGCAAAATCTTCAGCAAAGAGATCAGTCAAAATTAATCAGTAGGAGATCCAACATGTTCCCTGTGGAAGACGAGGAATTGGACATGCGAGTAGCATTCGTGTTCATTTGAATAAGGAAGTAGTCATTAAAGACGTTACAAAAAGCCTCAGTTAAGTTACCGAAGGAAAAAAAATTAAAACCATCCAAAAAATCCTCACCAGATTAAGGCCGCCTGTAAAAAAAGAAAAAAAGAAAGGAAGTAGACAACGCGAGTTCACATAAAGAATACGGGCCCTGAAATTATATTTTCTTTGTTTCAAATAACCAATCCTGTAACATTAAACTGCCAGTACTGACAATAAAAGTCAAATTACTGTGCATATAATAAAAATACTTGCTTTTTAACGTCCTTAGTCACTAAGTTTTGTTGCTTTTCTTGTCAGAGGTGTCGCGTGTTAAAACACTTTGCAGTCTAATTGGTCATTCTCTGGTGATTGTAGGTGTTACGCTGTACTTATTGAAGATATGTGTAATGTTTATCGTATACTCACTTGAGAGGGGTATAGACGAAGTGGGGCGCTTACTGAATTATATTTGGCCTAGGCGAGGGGTTGCGACTTCGAAGGGGTGTGCTAATTCGAGAACACCAGAGCTACAACAAACATGAACTCATTTGTGAGTCTCAGCCATATGTTTCTGGCGACTTCTTTCTGGTGCATACATGAAGAAGTTCAATTTTGTCCTGCATTTGGCTAGCCTGCGAATACAGCCGTTTCTCCTAGCTCCTCGCCGCGGAAACGGCTGCATTCGCAAGTTAGGCGTAGTTAGTCACATCGGAATGAGCATCATTCATCGGTGCCGTCATGAGGTAAGCGAACAGGGTAGCTCCGAAGAAATATTTCACCTTATAGCAGTTTTTGGAAGAAAGGTTCCACACCTTAGGATTTCATCCACAGACTCAAAATTTAGACACATCAGTTGTACATAGCTCATAAAAAAAACCCAGCGCCACAGCAAAGTCCTGCAAAGAAGCTTTCATTAGCTGGGTTAAAATGCAATCCGGCTTTTCATTTCAAACAGTTCAGATAAATACAACTTTTCAAGTGATTAATGTTTTTATTGAAGCACCTTTATTACAGTGTACTGGTTAATTAGAAACCAATGTAACTCAGAATCATTAAACTGGCGTTTTTCAATACATTTGTCTGGCAGAAGATTACTTGATTTTAACTTCATTGAAAATATTTATTGTTAGAATATCAAGACCTCAAGAGACATACACTTTACTTAGCACAAAGTGCCAGAAATATTTCAAAAATCTTTTGGACGTATCTTCATCTCAGTTTTCTTGACAGAGTAGCAGCGACCCTTCGGCCAATGGAGCCAGCGCATTCCTTGACAATCGTCCTTACCATTGAGGTACAGACCATTCAGGTTGGAGTTGTGACAATCGCTGTACCACCAGGCGCCTTTATAAAGCAAGGCACAGTTTGCTTTGTATTTATCGTTATCACGATCCTTGGTGGAAAATGACATACCACGATGACCTGGACCAAGTGCATCACCAGCAGTTCCTACAAAAAGGGGGAAAAGCAAATTATAGGTCTTAGATTTCCCTGTTATCTTTCGCAGAGTTTTTCAACCGGTCAATTTCACTTGTGCATAAACAATCCTAGTCCACTTAAATTAATCCAAACAGGAAGAAGCACTTCTAGGGTTGTTAAACAAAATTAAATTAAAACGTCCTCCGAAAGGTCTAAAAAGACCGCCTCAAAACGAACTTGGTAAAGTTACGAAACCGGTGGAGATCTTATACTTGCTGACAATTCAGTGAAATACCGTAATTTCTGAACTCTCAAGACGCGGGCAAATCCTTTTTAAACTTTTTGATATAATCTAATATGACATTACAAATATAGGTCAACTGTTGCTGTAAAAATCAACTAACAACTTTCACATTCCAATCGCGATCACTTGGGCAATAAAAAAATCTTATCATCTTTCTTTCTTTCTTTTGTCTTGTTATTGTATTTGCCAATTTGTAACATTTTTCGCCGACTGATTCTTTTTTCAGTCTTGTATAAACTTACCTGAATAACTTCCCAAATTCAGTTGGTATTTCGCCCTCTCGCTTGTCACAGAGAAGGAGCTGTACTCGGCAAATGCAGTTTTTCCATGAATGTCTTCCAAGTCGACACGGAGTTTATAACCACCGCTTACAGTCAGCCGATGAATCTTGTCCAAACCGAGCCAGAACTCACCGTTCAGATTGCCAAAACCGCGTTTGTAATCATCCCAAGCGCGGAAGAAATCAACAGAGCCATCTCGCCTCTTCTGAAACACCGTCCAACCTCCACCGGCTGTTTTCTGATCACAGAACACTTCAAATTCACCCAAACCATCAGGATTGATTTTATACACTCCACTGATCTTGTCACCGGACTTGTAGACTTCAGCGCAGTTCTTGTAAACTGAAAACGAAATGACCATCTGATTGAATTATTATTATTTTTTTTTTTCGTTTTTTTTTCCATAGGCGTTGTTCTTCAAGGTAGACATAAATAATTTGTTGAGAAAATAGTCTTATGAAGGACGTATAAAATAAGAGATAAAATAAGAATACTTGTACTATTTCAGCGACATTTTGCAAGGGGTTTTGATGGTATTTTAGAGAGACATTGATGACAATAAGGATCCACTTTTCTCATTTCTAGTACATATTAAGTTGTTGTTACAAACCTTTTCCGTTGTCAGACCCATTAGTTTTATTTTCTCTCAATGCCCTGATTTCTTGCCGTATTTCCTCTAGTTGTTGCTCGATTTTCTTGCAGTTTGGTCCGGCGTAGAAGCTGTTGTAGTTATTATTCACGTTGCAATGAGCTTCTTTCGTCGGTTTAACAGTAGAGTTGGCAAGTGTTGCGATAAAGTAAACAAAAAGGATAGCTCCAACAAAATATTTCATCTTACTCTTATGAGCAACTTCAAATGGTATTGAAAAATTTAGATAAGAAATGATGCAAAGCCTCCCGCGGAGCCTTGGTATAGGTTCTAATTTTTAGACAAGATTTTTCTCGTCTGTGTATTTTTAGTAGGTGCTGTGTCATCTATTATTACCAATAAAATTACTTAACATTTGCATAGAACATCGTGTGGCCGAACAATAAATATTTATTCATGCATCATAATGTATACTTGCATACCTTTGCGTTAGCGGTGTTTTGTGAAACAGAACTCTGAAGAGTAAAATCTTAGGTTTAGGTTTTACATTGAAGAATCTAACCCGGTAAAATATTTCTGTCAGTTTATGGGCAGGATGCTGAATCATCGGCACTTGTCGGCGCCGCGTTCGTTCAAGTTCCTCTTTTCATCTTTGCTTGAACATACTTTAATATTAGTTTACCAACTGTTGGAATATCTCATGTTTACGTTTTAAAATCTTGCTTCGTCCGGTCTCGCTAACCTACTGCTATAGGATAAAGTAAGGTTTGCAGTCACTGGCGGAATAACCCGTGCTGGGAAGGGTGAAGTCATGATACTTATAGGGGATGAATGCACTCTTCAGTCGGCCTCAAGAATTCCTGTGTAGCCTGTTATTACAACGGCCTCTTGATGCTCCCTTCCGCTGGGACTCTTCGCGAGCGGCGGTGAGCTATTAGAAACGACTGTATTCGCAGGCTAGCTCGAGTGGAACGCGGAGAAAAACGCAAAACCTCGAGTAGCTTTGACCAGAATACATGTATATCGAATGAAAATCTCATTGTAACGCCGTGGTCCACACAGTATGCTTTACACCTGCGCTTCCTTTAGGATTCACGGAACATTAGGATGACCTATTCCCACAGAAATACGCCGAAAAGGAACTCGTGGAGAAAATGTTTAAAAGAACGAAAGTCTAAAAGAGACTATCAACTTTGCAAACGCGATTCTCTCCGACACGTTCTAGTCAAATGAGACAAATTATCTATCATTGTATTTAAAAAAATAAATGCGACTGTGTAGTTACTGTAGGTCTAATGAAAGCACTCCGAAGAATAACTTCTAAACTAAACAGCATGACTTTATACGCTAAGTGTTTTTTTGTGTGTGTCTTCTGTGGTTGGTGATAATCGGTGAATTACACTTTGAAGCTTTATCCCAGGAAAACTGAGTATTAAAATACAATATTGATTTACTAGCTCCTTTTCCGAAACGCGAAAGTCGATGGGTAAGGGAGACAGGCAGCTGGATTCATGAAAAAAACAAAGGAGAATTCTAAGGATAAAGGAAGTTATAGTACGAGTGATTATACAGAGGTCAAGTGTGACAAGCTAGTATCCTTTATTCTTATTTTGTGTTCAGTAAATAATTCTATTGTTTAGTTTGACGGATTTTCATTTCAAGAACGTGACAAGCGCAAGTATCAAGAGTTTCCTTTCCGATTTAATTTGACTATGAAATGAACAAATTCCACCACCCAAGATAAGAACACAGCATTTAATGTCTTAGCTTCCTTCCACAATGCAAAGATTCTGAGTCGTAACATACAAACTGCGTGGTTTTATTTTATGCTGAACGGCAATATGGCCGAATGAACAGTAACATGAGCTTCGCAAGGCATCATGGCCAAAACACCGGAAATACAATTAACGGAAGTGCCAACCTATTAAGGTACTATAGAATCATTACATCCCTGCTTTCCTATAACCTTGAAAAACTGGATGATAGTCTAGAGGTGCATTAACCTAATTCAGCGTCTACAAGGTACATGCTTTTGAGTCTAAGTCAATGTCGATTTTTTTGTCTCTACAATAGCTAAACGCAACAATACTATTATGACCGTTTCAAAGTATTGTTAAGAATCACAGCTGGTTTGACTCAGTTCCTACAGATCCAGTCTCTCCGGGGGTTTAATCAGCCTGCCACTGCGAGTTGTGTAGGTGTCTGGCGATGTGATGGTTTCATTCCTCAGAGGGTTTAAACTGGAGGATGAATGCAGAATAGGGGAATCTTTGGATGACGACTGCTCATTCCAGTCAGGTTCTACTGCTCTGTTGTCCTGATGCGCTTCTCGTATGTGGGCTCTGTTGCGCCTCAGCTCTCTACCAGTTGCAGTCGTTAAAGCGTATGAGCGGGGAGGTCCAACTAGTCTTTCCTTTACCTCAGCCGGTTTCCATTTCAGCGATGCTGGATCTTGAATGGTGATCCTTTGTCCTGGGGCAAGTTCTGGGAGTGGCTTTGCAGATCGATCATAGTAGTGTTTCTGCAGTTGCTGTCTTTCGATCAGCCTGTAGATAACTTCTTCACTTGATGGGTCCCTTGAAATCTTCCTTGGGAGGTTGTCTTGGATTGGGCGCCCCAATAGTAACTCGGCAGGTGAGGGAAGTTTGTGGTCAACAGGAGTAGCTCTTAGACAAAGAAGCGAAATGTCAGGGTCTGATTTGGTCATTTTCGACTTCAGGAGGGCTGACTTCACTGACTTGACTTGGCTTTCGATAAACCCATTGCTACGAGGGTAGTGGGGGGAGCTTGTAATGTGCTTAAAACCGAGGTCCCGAGCGAACTCTTGGAAGGTTTGGCCGTTAAAATGCGGACCGTTGTGAGTTCTTACTACCTCGGGGATGCCTTGCTCGCTGAACAGCTGCCTCATTATTTTGACTACTATGCTGCTGTTGCTTTGCCCACTCGGTATATTCCTAACAAAGGGATACTTTGAGTAATAATCAGCAACTACGAGATATTCGGAGCTATTAAGAGCGAAGAGATCAGCACCAATGGTGGGCCATGCCCTGGGAGGTACCTCTGTGGTGATTAGAGGTTCCTTTTTGTTGGCTATGCTGGAGCTCCTCACATTTACTCTATGTTTTTGTGGTTTCTTCTATGTCCTTGTACAAGCCTCTCCAGTAGACCGAGGTTCTAGCTCTTAGCTTGGTTCTCTCGGTTCCTTGGTGTGGTGCGTGTAGTTTCGTCAAAATCTCTTTCTGCAGCGTGGCAGAAATGATAATACGGTGGGCTTTCATGACTATTCCGTCTTCGGTGGCTAGCTCGTCCCGGTAGGGCCAGTAGGGACTTTACGAACCAGAACGCGACGCAGTTTGAAAACACCGAAACCGAGAAGGGCCCGGGGCGAGAACGCCGTCACGAGCGCGGGAAAAACAAAGTTACGGATGCGAACGCGACGACAGAGACAGTACAGCTGTGCAAATCCTTTAAACTCCGCTAAACACATTTTCGTTTTATAGCTGGTGTTATACATCATAAATGGCAACATTCAGAGAGGCAGGGGAAGCTTTATTGTTTGCCTATCAAGATGGAAGCATTGATGATACAGAGTTTGCCCTGTTGTACGATTTAAATTCTTCTGAAAATCTCGAATTTCCTTATTGGAAGTTTGGTCGCTTCGATCTTGATTCTATGACAGATGATGAGTGTAAGACTGAGTTTCGGTTTTTCAAGAACGATATTTATTTACTCGGAGAAGTTCTTGATATTCCAGACATAATGAAATGCCCCAATGGCGTTCTTGTGGATGGAACGGAGGCTTTGAGTGTGCTGTTGAAGCGTTTTGCATACCCTTGTCGATTTGCAGATATGGTTGCTCGATTCGGGAGACCAGTTCCACAACTTTGCATGATTACAAACCGAATGATGGACTATTTGTTCGATGAATATAGCCACCTTCTCGCAGATTTAAATCAGCAATGGCTTTCCAGGGACCGTCTCCGTCATTTTGCTGCCACTATACATGATAAAGGAGCTCCACTCGAAAACTGTTGGGGTTTCATAGACGGAACAGTGAGACCCTTATGTAAGCCAGATGAAAACCAAAGAATTCTCTATAACGGACATAAAAGGGTGCATGGGATAAAGTTTCAGTCTGTTGTTGCTCCAAATGGGCTTATCGCAAGTCTGTTTGGTCCAGTCGAGGGCAGGAGACACGATAGTGGTATGCTAGTCGACTCAGGACTTCTGCAAGAATTATCGCATTACTCGTTTGCACCGGACGGGACACCCTTATGCGTTTATGGCGACCCTGCCTACCCTTTGCGTGTCCACTTACAAGGGCCCTTCAAAGGCGCTCATTTGACACCAGCAGAGCAACAGTTCAACAAGGCCATGAGCCAAGTCAGAGTTTCGGTAGAATGGCTATTTGGGGACATTGTTAACTACTTTGCATTCCTAGATTTCAAGAAAAACTTAAAAATCGGCTTAAGTCCAGTTGGCAAAATGTACATTGTGTGTGCGCTCTTGAGAAACGCTCACAGTTGTCTTTATCAATCAAGTACTTCGAAGTTTTTTGGAATAGATCCACCCCAAATCCAGGACTATTTCAATTAGGTTTCTGAGGTTCAATGTATTCTGCAGTTATTACTCACTTTCAAAAAATTATACAGCCATACATTTGCACTGTGGTCATTATAACACAACGGGGAAGGAGGAAAAGTCATAGAAAAATATATCGAGTCTAATGCAATACATAACATAAAATTGTAATGGCTGCAACCTACTGACCACCCGCCCCTACCCCTTATCCTGCTTTTTAGTAATTATTAATGACCACAGCCTTAGGACTGAATTACAACTCACAATTTTCTCAATACAACTTGATTGTGTCTTAATCATTAAACTGATTTTAGTGAAGACTACTGTTAACCCTACAAGGGAGATTTTAAAATTAGAAATGTGAGATTAATATTTGGCCTTAACATACCCCCTTCCCTAGATTCCCCAGCCCTTTTTATCCTAGGGAGGTTTTTAAAACCTGTTTTCGAACACACAAAGTATCACTAGTTTCTTTTATAGCAGACTGTAAATACAGAATTTTATTGCAGTTTACGCAACAGGTTGCAAATTTTCAAAAACATTATTCAACTATTCTAGACAAAAAATATTTTCTAATATGCCACCATCCAATGAGATAACTGCAATAATAGAACATAACAAAAGGCGGGCTCCTCGGCACAAGAAAAATGCGGTGCCACTGTT